CTCCTCTCACTGGCCCCACCTTCCCAGTGCGACAGAGGAAGGAAGGAGCAAGAACTTACACTTCTTGCACAGGCTCTGCCTTACCAGGACAATGGAGAAGCATGACGTTACAGTGTCCTAGGGCAAGAGAGAAAGAAAGGTGCCCGAATTCATGGTCCTCTCCCCTTCACCACTGTCCTAGGGCATCAGAAATATAAATTCTTAATTTAAAACAACATTTCTTTCTTTTTCTTATCCCATTCACTTTCTAGTAAAAGGCCTATGTGAACAAAGGGAAACAATATAGTGCAGAAATTTAATGATGGAACACATTGTTGAGGAATGTTCATTTCTTAAGAAAACTGATAGTTTTTGTCTGAGATGCAATTTGCAATAATTCATACTTTACCTAACATTGTGCATTTAGAGAGATGGATGCACTCGTCTTTCGACTCAGGGACTTCACATTGAGCTGCATGCTCAGATCTTTTTATTTCTTATTTTTGAGACAGGGTCTTGCTAAATTTCCCAAATCAGGAGCAGTTCTTCTGCCTGAAATTTCCAGAAGCCTCAGACTGCAGGATTGCACCACTGCACCTAACTCAGTACCACTCCTTCTTCCCTTCCTCCTTTCTCCTCCTCTCGCTCTCTCCTCCTCATCCTCCTTTGTCATTATCATTCTCCTTCTTCTTCTTTCTGTCTTGTCCTCTTCTTTATAAAAACATGCTGTGATACTATGTCATGCTAAAACCACAGCACATACTTGCTTTGTGGCAGCTTCCTATTGACACCATCTTCACACCTGTGCACCGCTTCTTTCTCACATTCTGAGAAATGACAGGTTAGATGACATCAGCGCAGGCTAAAAATTTTACAAGAAGCTGTTGACAAGTTACTCTAATTAAATCATTTGAAACTTTCAAGAAAAGACTTGCAGATTATCTAGATACACTTTCTAACATTGTGTTTTCTAGCTTTATAGGAAGCAAATCATACATGAAAGTATTTTACTGCCATTGAAGAAGTCTTTAATTAGAATGACTTGCATGGCTGAAAGTTAGATACTTATTTAACTGGCTCTTTCTGAGTGTTATGAGCACTTTTGCCCAAATTTGCTTGATAGCAAAGTAAAGCTGTACAATGTAACTTAGCAGAAAGAAGGTTAGGGCTGTCAACTCGTTTGCTGTCTTGTGGGCAATGATCTTGTAGTAGTGCTTAAGAAATCTGAATTAGGTTTCATTTAGTATGATTTCAGATTGCAAGGTTCTACCTGAAAATAATCAACACAAACTTCTTGTTCACTGAAATTCTCCAGTAAAAGCTTTATTATATTTGTTTAAAGCATTTACTCTGCAAGAAAAAAGACTTCGAAAAATAAAACATTGCCATTGAACATTACAACTAATTTTAAGTTTGTTTCTTAAAGTTTATGCACATATATAAATTTATGAAGCTATCGGGCTAGAGGAAAAATGATTACCAAGAATCTGAAAGATGTTTTAAGCTCCTGAAATAGAAGAAAGGACAAATTACTTTAATTTATTTTCTAGCCCACAGAAAATATGAAAGCTCCTATTGTCTAGGAAAGAAACTAATGAATTTATTTTTTACACTGACAACCACCACTGTCCTATGAAGAAATAAATTATTTTCCTATTTGATAATTTAGTGTAAGTATGAAAATTAGTTTACTAGAAGCATATGTGAGTTATGTGCTCTTAAATTACATGACTTTGCCCAGTTTGGATCAAGTATCCAGGTGCCCCGACCAGGATACAAGAACACACAGAGCCAGTGGGTTGTTACAAATTCATCCCCTTTGTGAGGGAATGAGGGGTTGGCAAAACTGGTCCAGACAAGAGAGTTGTGGACTGCACATTTGTCCTCAAAGATGTCTGTGTTAAGCATAAACAATAGGTTTAAAATTAATCTTGGAAATAAAGAAATCACTCATAATCCTAGCATCTAAAATAAATATATGATTTTGAAAGAATACGAGAAAATTTATTTTGAAAATTGCTGTGTATATAATGATAGCTAATGAATATATCTCCTTAAATTTTTAAGCTGACCAAATGGTCATAGTTTTAGCAAGTTTAAAAACAAAAAGGCTGCATATTAAACAATTATTTAATTTATAACTAAGTGGGCAAAAAAGCCTTTGAATAGCACCAAGAAATACATGCCATTTTTTAATTTAGTAACTCATAAAAAACTAAATTTTAGATTGAAAATTTTGAGAATACATATCATATAATAAAGAGAGTTCTGTTGATAAGCCTTCCTGTACATGATCTAATATTATAAATATAATAAATATATCCTGGGGCTGACAAAATTGTAAAACAAATGTTTTAATACATATCAATTTTGAAAACAGGTAAAGTATACTTAAGAAGATGCTACATGGAGACTACACAGACAAGACACACTTTTAGGATCTATTTTTTAACTTATTTATGTATGGGGATATTTCTTAATTTATTATCAAGCATGTGTTATTACACATTAAACTATGGAAGATAAAATTAAAATATCAGTTACCATTATAAGAAATATTGATTCTTAACCCATTAAAATCTCCCTACAAATAAGCAACAGAGGATGTTGTGGCTTAAAAGAAAAAAAAAAGGAATGCTCCAGTTTTAACATGGCTGAAAAAAATCAGTTCAAGCAACAAACTTGCCATGTGCTAGGTACTCTGATCTACCATAGCAATATAAAGGTGATACGCAGTAAAAACTCCCTAAGCAAGAAACAGATTAAGAAGTCTGAAAAAACTATCTGTAAGTGTGTTGTTAGCTGTTGTATAGTAGAAAAGTGGGTAGCAAAAATTATGCTGGTAGAGATATAGGGAAGTACATTCAGAGTAAAATAGTAATTGACTTAATAAAAATACAAAATATTCAAAAAAACGGATTTCACTTGTGTTTTGGCAAATTAAAGTAGGGGCTTCCAGACATTCAGTGGTAAGGTAATAAAGAAAACTGTCCCCTCATATGGAAGAGAAAAGGCTGAAATTTTCACAGCAATAGAAACCTTTCCACAGCTATGGAAAGGTTAAGATGAAACAGCAGAATGGCTGGGCAGAGATACACTATGCTGGGTTAGGTGGCACAGCCAGGAGCAGCTGGGTAGGAGACTACAGGCACGGGCAGGCCAGGAATTTCCAGAAAGTACATGTTAGTTGCTGAGTTATGAAGATACTGCCTTGTGGAATGGGAAATTTTCATCAGAGAAAAAACAAGATCAAGTTTAATCCTCCATCTGCTGATCATAGGATTAACCAGATCAAGGCAACCGCAATGGCATAGATCCAGTAGGCAGTCAAATAAAAGAGGTTGATAAATTGGGGTAAATGAGAAATGACAGAACTAGAGGAGTGGGTAGATTAGGACCAGAGGGAAAAAATGTTTCAAGATAATTAAGCAGAGATGTGAATAAAGTGAGTTTGTACAGCATAGGATGGGGAAAGTTACTTTGGAAAAAGAGTTAGTAAAGTGTTTTTAAGGTATAGAAAGGGGAAAGATTAAGAGTCCACTGTCTCTGGCTTGATTACCTGTAATGATAAAAATGAACTAATAAAATGACAATTAGTAGGACAAAAGTAAGCTTGATGGAGCAAACCAAGAGTTCACAAGTGTGAGCTGTTTTTAAACACTTAGACTTGTCAACTTAGGTGAATTCTTATGTAGGATGAAAGGGTTGGAGACATGAATCTTGGGTATAATTAACAAACAATATCTTGAAAACCATGAGATTTGCTGAGATCAGGATTTCTCAACCAACCGTATTACTCTCTTGAAATATTCTGAGAACATGCTTCTATTTTATTTTTACTATTTGACATTGCACATGCACACACATATAAGTAGAATGAGAAAATGGATTATCAATAAAGATGTTTTTAAATTAAGGTGTGAATAAATAAATGGAAGCTAAGAGAATCAATAGTCTAGAATAGTAAGATCAACAAAATTGAACACTAAAGGACTCTAAAAAGTACACATAAAAGAATGGTAACATATGCACATAGATGGTATTACCACCATTGAATGGCTTGTTTTCCTCTAAAGTGTAATAGTTATGGTGTTGTGACAAATTTAAGAATTTTTATTCTCTTTTAAAGGAAAACTAAAACATACAGCATGTGATAGTGACTCATGACATCTTTAACTTGTGGAAAAGAACACTATTATCCCAGTAAAATTCTATGTATAATATAATTAGGACAACTATTTACATAATATTTTGGGAGCTCATGACATCTAAACCAAAACTGATTTCAATGAAAATGCAAAGAAAATATTGATGACAGTTACGATGTCAGGAAGTTGCTTATTTCACTTATTTGAGTCATGCAGGATAAACACAGTCATCACTAGAGAGACTCAGAGGGAAAGAGTCTCAGAGCACAAATGACATGGAGAGAATTCTCTGAGAAAAATAGGGACACAGGCAAATATCCTTACAAGGGAATTAATTTTTCTGACAGTTACGTGGACTAGGCCAAAGCCACCTGGCTGAGAACTGACACACAGGTAAGGATATAGCTAGAAAATAATGAGAGTGAACATATAGATGACTGCAGATGCTGACAGTGAAAGATTAGGAAGTAGTCAATTTGCTTGAGCAAAAAAAAAAAAAGATGCATTAAATGAAATGCACACAAAATTTCTATGAATTATTTTAGGAGCCAATTTATCTACTCCACATCTCCTGCTGTTCCTACTTTAAAGAAGTGATTAGTTGCCTTGGACACATTTTATGATGATTGATAGGAAGAGAAAGTATAAATAAAGTAAAACTATCACAAGAAGTTCTTTCAATGAATATTTTTTCAGCAGCCTAATCACAGTAACCACTGCATCTATGGATTATATCAGATATGCCTGCAATTACTGTCACCAATTGCAACAAACTGATTTCTGACTAGTCTAGGTTAATACAGTTAGTAAGAAAGTTGTTATGACACAAAAGATAAAAATACATCTTTACATCATGTCTATTTCTTTCTCCAGTGTTGTTTCGAGTTGTGTCTATGGATGATGATTTGAAGCCTGTTGAGGAAGTGGTAAGTCACAGCTGGACATATATTTATTTTCATGCACTACTTTGTTACTTAAAGCACACAATTAGCCTGTGAAAATGAGACAGGCTAGTCTAAATTCTGGGCTATGTTCCTGTTAGTCTAGAATCCCTTGTGTTCCTCACTTAGACTCAAAATTTTGTTTCTTTCTTCTCTTTCTTTCTATGTGGTCAAGAAAGTAAAACATATTTTCCAATTACTTGTATGTTCCAATCACTAGTCTTCAATTTACCATACCTCTACCATTATAAAGCATTGTACTAGAGTAACTGATTGAAAGTCAGAAAAGATACCCTTCCTGCTCTAAAAATGATTGTTAGAAGAGAGGTAGTCGGGAAATAAAATAAATTAGCAAAATAAAAGTGATATCAAATTTTGAAGAGAATGAGAGATGCAATGATAGCCATTGTTGACTTCCCTATTTCCTGATCTTGAAGACCTAAAATGCCTTCCTCATCTTGTTCAGATCAGTTCTATACTATGTTGTTTCATGTGAATTCTGTGTATGTGAAGACATGGACAACTATTTGGAAGAAAACAAGAGACAATATGATAGATAGTGAAGATCTCTGATTTTCTTGCTTTGAAATTTATGTCTGTTACATTGCTTTCTTATATTCTGTTTTGTTATTTTGTTGTGTTTAATTTTACCCTCTTTAAAATTAAAAAAGCAAGGAATTGGGGAGGTGGCTCAAGGCAGAAATGGGGTTCAATCTTAAGTACATGCAGAGCCATGTGTGGTGACAAATGTCTATAAAACCAGCATAAGTGAGACTGAGGCAGGAGCATTTCCATGAGTTTGAGGCCAACATGTACTTACACAGCAAGAATCTGCCTCAAAACAAACATATATATATATATATATATATATATATATATATATATATGTAGGATATATCACTATGTCTTTGACATCTAAAAGAACAGAACATGGAAGATAGTAAACTCATAATTGTGTATTGAGTGAATGAGAAACTATTATACAGAGTGAATATTTTATAATAACATAAATGAGCTAATAAAGATTGAATGAAAGCATTATGCAAAACAGATACATTGTCTCAGGTTGACTTCCCCAGAATGAGATTCAGAGGCAAAAAAAAAATATGAAAAAGTGAATTCTTAAGAAAATGCTGCAGAAGGAACCAGCAAGTGAGGGGGAAAGGGAATAAATAGAACAGATGCAAGAAAAAGTCAAACATGAGTCAAGTTAAGTAGTCACCCCAATGGGTCGGGAGCTGCAGAACAAAACTTACAATACAGAGTTTGCTCCAATTTTAGAAAAGAAACTGGATTTTCATATTCAAATGCTAGGCAGCTTTGTTTACAGTTAGCCTTCAAGGTACAAGTAAACCTTCTCTCCTGACCTGGAACTTGTCAAGAGGCCCTAGGACCTGCCTCACAGGAAGTTTGCTGATAAAAGTTATTTAGGGCAGAACACAGGAAAATGAGACCAGGTGTCAAGAACCAGTCAAAGCAACGTGAGTGTGTTACATTGGCCATGTCTGCTACAGTTACCATGGACAGATGAAACTAAGAGACTCAGAAAATAAAGATGATCTGATGCTCAATTTAGGGAAAGGAAGAGATTCCTATGAGGAGAGGAAAATGATAGCAAAAATACATGGGTAGAGAATAAGGGGATTTAAGAAACTGAAATGTAAAGACTTAGCTTTGCTGAAGTGTCTATTGCAAGGAATGTGGTGAAAAGCTAGAAAGGGGGCTTCACATCCCATCATGAAGGCATTTGAGTTAGAGTTACTCAGAATGGAGCACTCTGTGTACAGAACAAGGAGGACAGTGAGGAAAGTGGTGATCTAGATCCTCTTAATTTGTTCTTTTAATTTTCATCAGTGCATGTTTGCAGTATGTAATAATTATATCTATTGTGGGAGTTGATCCATGTACATAACACATTTTAATTCTTATTTACACAGAGCTACTAAAAGAAGAAAAGTGTTGTTGATTCTTATAGAAAATCACTGTTCCTCAGGGAAATGTCGAGGAGTTCCTTCATTGTTGCTGATCTGCAGTCAGGGGAGTAGCAATTAGATGATGCTGATCATCTAAAACAATTTAGGCAAGAGGCAGAAATCCAGTTTTTAAAAAGTGGTAATAGGAAAATGCTCAAAAGACAGTGAACTGTGGCTAAGGAGAGTCAACAATGTCTGCAGCAGGATACCTGACTTATTATTCATGTATTTTAGAAGCAAACATGTTAGAACTAGCAATTCCCATTATGATCTCTCATGTCAATCTACTGACTGAGCAATTTCATTAAAGTTCACTGAGCTTTCAGAGTTCCTTCCTTCCTTCCTTCAAATCACCCTCATCCTACAAACGCAAGGCATCTTCTCCTGTAATGCTCTTCCTCTTAACACCTCTTCACACACTAATTTTATTGACTATATGCTCAGCTTTAGCTTTTAGATGTCTAATTTGAGTGCCAAAAGTTCTTTTACTCATTTAAATCCTAAATTACCTCTGTGAAGTAACTTGCAGTTCCTGTTCTTTTTGGTTCTATGTGGGAGTTCATTTAAGAATTAATCTTCTCTAAGCAAAGCGGCAAGCACTCAATACAGAAGTACACGCTCTACCCCTGCACTACACCCCTAGTCTAATAATTATTCTGAACAAAAGGACCATGGGAACACACAGGGCTTCTTGAATCTAGAAGGTTACAATGTAATTATAATTGATTTTTAGGCTCCTCCACCATTTCTGATTGTTTTTGATTTTCAAGAAGTCCAAATATGATTATGGTAATGACTCTGATTGAGAATTAATGAACTGTCACAAATGGGTTACAGAAAAGAATATCACTGCAGCAAATATTTTGAGGGTGGTTCTATGACATAGCAAACAGCATTCACTTGTGCAGAGATGAAAATTAGTATCATATTCTCTGTGGTGGCCCCAGTTAAGATATGGATATCAATTTCTAGGCCAATAGTTCTAAAGTTTGCCCCTATTTCAACAACTCTCCAATTATTTATTTAAATAATTCGGGATAGACTGGCCTTCTGGGAGATCAAGAATTCATAGCAAATTTGATGACATAATCAAAATATAGAAGTGACAGGACTCTTCTTCATCAAATGTACCAAAACTCAGAACATATGAGCAATTTCTTCAGCCCAAATCTTACATCTTTCCTTTCTGTCATTTTCTATAACTTGTTTATTGTTTGCATCTTTCTCTTCCCTAAAGTCAGTGCTTTGTAACATATGCAAACATTTTCTTTTTCCAGACAGTTTCATTTGCATTGGAAATTCCAGATATTTCCTTTAACATATCACAAGAACTGGGCAGTTTTTCATAGATGCTGGCCTTGGCTCAAGCGAGTCCAAACACAGAAAGGCACATCAAGATATGATTTCCTTAGATTTAGACTGATTAAGCAAAATTCAAAGCAGAATCATTAGTTACCAGAGCAAATTAAGCTATATTTCATTCCTTGTTTCAGAAAAAGTAAGCAGCTTAAAATAATAGTAACTTTACTAAATTATGTTATACTAGTCACTTGAAGCAGCCCAAGTTCAGTACAATTTAGACAAATTAAACAATAAAAATCCAACTTGTTGAACACAACGAAAGCCATCTTGGAAATATCACAAAGAGATAATAAAAGGGATCGAATTCTAACTTCAATTTTAATTAGAATTTAATCCAAATGGTCCACCGGTCATGGTGCCTACAGAGAATACTTTTGTTTTCATCCTGTGAGGGACTCCCATGAGAAACTCTGTTTTAATGCTCAGGTTAATAATACAGCAGGATTTGGGTGTGGTGGTACATGCTGTAGTCCCAGAACTAGGGAGGTGAGGCAGGAAGATAATTGTTGAGTTCAGGGCCAGCCTGAACTGTATAGCAAATTCCTGTCTCAAAAAATAATCAAAATAAGAGCTTCTCTCTATGCCTTGTCAATATTTCATCAAGGACATACCATTTCATGAATTTATAACTACAGAGAAAGGCCTTGACTAATTGTATGATTTTTCTAATTTGAAGAATTTCACACAAGGGTTTTGGTAAGAATCCTGTTCTTAAGTCTTTCTATGTATTTTTATTTTGTTTTATAGTAGATGTTGGCAACATGAAATTTACGTTCATCTTGAGGAAAAGGTGCCTTTATCTTGTTTCTTCTTTTAGTTTCCTTCCTCTTCCCACTCACCTCCCTTCATTTGTCTCTAAATCACTTTCCCTATTTTCATTTTATTGTTGTTATCATTCTTAGCTCACATTTATGATAATTTTTTTTATTGTAGGTCTTTGGTACCTGACCTTGTGTTACATCTTGTCACGTCTTCTCCCCCTGGCTCTCTCCTCTCTCCCTCAGTTTCCTCGATCCCTCCCCATGTGCAAGAGACCTGTTCCCTTGTTGCCCTTCTGTTTTGCTCTTTATACTTTACCTTGCTCAAATGAGAGATACTATATGGTGTATTATGTATCAGTAGCACATCTGCTTTACCTGTTCATCTGTTGGTCAGCTCACAGTCTGCTTCTAGGATCTAGTTATTATAAATTGTGCTGCTGTAAATATCAATATACGTGCATTGCTGTAACATGATGCCCTAACTCTTTTAGCAAGATAGATACCAGGGGAATAGCTGGGTCAAATGGAAGTTCTAATATATTTCTTTGAGAAATCCCCATTCTGAGTGCTATAATGGTTGTTCTAGTATACATTCCCACCAATGATATAGGAGGATTCTCTTTTCACTAGATTCATAACAGTATTTGTTATTTTTTTTTATTTTGTGATGATTGCCATTGTTTCTGGTAAGAGATGAAATATTAACATTGTTTAAATTTTCATTTCTCCAGTAACCAGAAACGTTGAAACTTTTTTCATGTTTGTTGGCCATCTGCACTTTTTCTTCTAAGAAGTATCTGTCCTTTCCACTCGCCCATTTCCTGATTGAATCTTTTGTTTTGGGAGATCTAGTTTTTATTTCTTTACATACTCTAGATGTTAGTCCTCTAATGAACATCTGGCAAATATTTTTCCATTCTGTGGTTTGTCTCTTCACTCTACTAATTGATTCTTTTGCTGTCCAGAAGTTTTTAATTTAATGTAACCTTGTATGTTGATGCTTGTTATTTCTTGGGCAATTAGAGTTCTGTTAAGAAAGTCCTTGCCCACACCTATGAATTCAAGTGTTTTACCTATTTTATCTTCCAGTAGGTTTGATGTTTCTGTTTTAACGTTTAGGTTTTCAGTGTCTTGGTTTTAAATTAATACATGGTGAAAGGTATAGACTACACTTCAGTCATCTACAAGTAGCTGTTTTACACAGCAACATTTGTTGAATAGGCTATCTTTACTCAAAAGTATGGTTTTTGCCTCTTTATTGAAGATTGTATAACTAAATATGTCTGAAAATGTTTCTGTATCCTCCTTTCTTTTCTACTGATCTACATGTCTGTTTTTGTTCCAGGGCCATACCATTTTTATCACTGTTGCTTTGTAGTGTAATTCAAAATCAGATATATGATGGCTCCTGCTTTGCTCTTCTCTTCCAAGATGGCTTTTTGCTATTCTGGATCTTTTCTGGTTCTTTATGAATTTGAGGTTTGTTTTCTCTAGATCTGTATCTTCGTGGGATTTCAATGAAATTGTACAACAGTTTTAGGTATATGGCTACTTAAACAGTATTTGTTTTTCTATTCAAGAGCAAGGAACATCTTTCCATTTTCTGACATCCTCTTCAACCTCTTTATTTCATAGTGCTGTAGTTTTCTCTGTAGAGGTCTTTCACTTCGTTGGTGAGGTTAATTCCTACATACTTAATTTTTCTTGATGCTGCTGTGCATGATACTGTTTCTCTGATTTCTCTATTGATTTTATTATTGGTGTACAAGAATGCTACTGATTTTTGTGTTGATTTTGTATCCTACTACTTTGCGGAAGCTGGTTTTTCATTCTAAGAGTTTTTGGCGGAATTCATTGGGTGTTCTATTCACTCTCAGGCAGGAGACTTCAGATTCCTGGGATATAAGTGCACTCTTGCTGGAAGTCACAGTCCCTGACCTTATATCCACTCCCAACCTAGTGTGTACGAGGGGCACTCCTTGCCCTTGGTGAGGATTGACAAGGAATCTGCAGGAGACAGCAGAGGCTGTTGTGGAGAGACCACAAGAATCAGCATTTCATTCAAGCAGGAGTACATGCAAGAGTCTCAGTCTTTGTTTGCTGATGATCCTCTCTGATCAAGCGGGGGCTTCTTTGCCTTGGTGAGCACAGGTGTGAGTGTCACCAGGAATCAGCATTCCCCATCATTTGGGTTAGAGTTACTGGGTCAAAGGGGCTGATATATAGTGAATTAGACCCAAGAATTCAGTCTTCGGTTTTCATACACTTTTACCTTCCATCCTCCTGTTTTTTGTTTGCTGTGTTGTGTTTTGGAATGCTCTCAATATGGCTGCTTCCTGCAGGGCCAGGGGCTGGAGAGATATAGATCAGCCATACGGCCTCCATTTCCCCCTCCCAATGATCCACTTATTAGATTTGGTCTACATGTATATCCTTTTCAATAAATAGTCTAAGTAAAGGTGCAAGAACCTTCTCTACTACTACAGTGTACTTGTGGCTTCAATGTGTTCTCGCTGAAAGCCTCTGACACTACTCTTCCTCTGCTCACTCACATTGGCATCCTGCAGCCATATAATTTTGTCAGTGTGCTGGCATTTCACCTCATAGAAAGGAGCACTTAGTAACCTGTAGGGTGGACAAAGGACCCCAGATCACCATTTTAAAAATTATCAGACTGTTCACATGAGATTCCTAGACCATGTATTCCATCCTGATTTGCGGTTTGAAAGTCCTATGACGGTGTATTAGGAAATGGTAAGCAAATCATGTGCATGACAGAACTGAGAGGCTGCACAAATTGAGGTGACAGGGAGAGGAAAGACAGAAGCCTCAGCACGAGACTTAGGGCAAAGGCCTGCCTACTTACTTGAATTCTATGGAAAAGGCTGAGTATAAGGCATGGTAAAAAACTAAGAAAAATGAATTAATGCATATCCCAGAAATCAAAGGTTTGAAGTATTATGAAGGAACAGCCCAGTCACAAGGGTAAAATATTGCAGCTGTCGGAATGAAGATTGACCATAGAATTTGTCAGTGAGGGTGTTAATAGTAATCTTAAAGAATGTTTTGCTTTGTTGGGCAAGATTGAAGGTCAAGTTTGATTACTGAGACTGGACAGTATATGTTATGCAAAAGAACTAAATGAAAATTGTGAGAGCTGGACAGAAAAACTGGCAACAGATATTTACACTTTTGGCCAGAAATTAATATGTTTACTTACTCAAAGTTATCAACACATGTCTCTTTGTGCAATAATAGACTTACAATTAACATTTACATTCATATATTAACATTCTTTTTATTTTATTTTTATTTCAGTATCCAGTGATCACCCTTACGGTAAGATAACTGCTGTTTGAAGTTTTTTTTTTTCTGTTTTTAGCATGCCCTAAAACTCAAATCTGAAGACAGTCTACAGAGAAAGACGATCTACTTAACTTTTTACAGGATTATTTAGTTCACATACCCATCCTCAAGAAATAAATGTATTTTTCTCCTTTGATTATATTAACATTCACCAACTAATACTGATAGTATGCATGGATGGTTTCATTTAATTTAAAATTTACTTATTGGGGCTGGGGATTTAGCTCAGGCATAAGCACCTACTTGGCAAATGAAGGTCGTGAGTTCAAACCCTGGTTCCACACACACACACAAAAAAAAAAAACCACTAAAACTTACTTATTGAATGTCTATGAATGTGTTTTTACTATTTTATGAACTGAGGATAAAAAATTTATAGTGCACTCTTAAGAAATGAGAAAGCAACATATGAAATGATTGGGAAAAACATCTCTACTGTATGATACAAACCCAAGTATTAATTCTCCAATAGGAATCCGAAGACATACTCATGTTTTGAATCATTAGGTTAGAATCTTCAGCTATTTGCTGAAATTTCATGATGAGCAAAGAAAAATCAAGCATGCAACAAAATATATTTCGTTCATCCTCAGGATCCACATAATAATCAGATACAACAGTGGGTGAATAAGAAATCTAAGAATGGTATCCTGCAACTCTCCTTCCGGTTAATTCCAGAGCCCATCCTGGGATGGTACACAATAATTGTGGAGGTGACCCCTGAAAAGAAAGAATATCGCTCCTTCTCAGTGGAAGAATATGGTAAATCCTGGCTATGAAAATTTTATCTGCAGATAAAAAGACTTTAGAAACTATCCATTTTCTAAGAAACAGTTTACTCAATGACATAGTAGTAAATGTATGTCTTTTCCTTGCCTCTTTCTTTTCCTTCTGCTATTATATTGTGATTCTTCATTTATTCTTACTTTTATACTCCAGTTAACAGTCTACAATCATCACACAATTCTCTTTTAACCTAATGTATCTATTTTGTCTTTCTTTTGTGATGTCTGGAATCAAGTTTAAGTGATAAACAAGTTTCCTCACTTGTTGTGTGTTCAAACTGTTTTTATGCCATATTTGTGGTTCAAAGCACTTTTAGTAAAAAGAATGGAACATTGGTTAATGAGGAAGTGCTCTACTGATATTATTCCATAAAATTCCCTTTTAAGTCCAGTTGTGCTATCATTGATCCCATTTTACAATGAAGAGTTTGAAGCACACTTTCCATGATCAGTACCTGAGAAGTCAAATCTTTATGTTTCTGTCCAATTCCAAAATCCATTTCCTTTCCATTTTAGTATGCTGATTTTATGTAACAGAAAATATTAGCAAATTTGCATGATCTGTAAGGGGAAAATAATTGCTTCATATGAATGTATTTATATTAATAAGATACTACTTCTCTTTTATTAACAGTACTACCCAAATTTCAAGTGACTGTGGATGCACCAGAAACTGTCTTAGTTGTGGACTCTGAATTCAAAGTTAATGTCTGTGCCTTGTAAGTTTAAATAATACACAGTAAGATGACGTATCCAGCCAGGAATGATGACACAAATGTAATTGTAGCACTTGGGAGGCTGAAGCAGGCAGATTTTCATGTGTTCAAGTCCAACCTAGGTTATATAAAGAGTTCAAGGCCAGCCTGAATTAGAGAGTGAGACAATGTCTCAACAAACAACTAAAAAAGATGTATCCATAGATTTATATTACCACAGAATAAAGAGTTTAAAAGAAGCAAGATGGAACTGTATAGAAGGCAAGAGAAAAGGAATCTATAAACTTATATTGCTGATTTTATGAATTCTTACCGTTCATCAGTAGTCATTAGAATACATGTTATCAACCATGGTTTTAGGTAACAGTTTGACTGTTGAACATTGCCTTACATCATAAGAGAACACTTTTATATCATCTAGTGCAAAAGTCACTGACTGCCCATAGGTGGCCACTTACAGTTCAACTAATTAAAATACAAGAAATTTAACAATCCAGCCCTTCATCTGCACTAGCCATGATACATGCAACAAGTAGCTCCTGAGTTTCAGAACATACACATAGAATATTCCCATTGGGTGATTTCACATGCTTACTCTGAATTCTTGATACAGTTTTCTTATAATATACAACCAAAGAAGAAAGTGATAGCTCAAAATGCATCACACAGAACTTGTATAAGAGCTAGAACTGGCTCCAGATAATTCGGGTGAATTAAGAGGACATCAAGGGCTGACAAGATTTCTGGGCAAGTGCAAGGTGCTGCAGTGATGGACAGCAGGAGGAACAGACAGGCAGCTCCTGCTGTCTTCTTCCTACCTTTGGCCAAGTTAAGCAGCCCAAGCAGAGCCTGTGTGACTAGCAAAGGGAAATGGAGCGCTGACATAAACCTTTAGCTCCTCACACCTGAAGTGACAATGAATTCTTCCCCTGGATACAGATCAAATCTAATGTACACTTTTCTTCTCATTTTGGATGATGAAGATTTTTAAAGTGCACTGGTCATTTCTAATTATATAGAAAGTTTCTTCTGGCGTTTGCTTTAGGCTAGAAGTTTTTAATGGTGTGAAAGGGAAGAAGAAGCACGGTTGAATTTTGAAGGCCCTATCTTGGGTTTCACCTCCAGAGTCTAAGTAGCAGGAGGCAAAGGACAGAACAGTCTCATTGTACCTGGGTTACAGAGGCAGGAAATTGCTTGCATAGATGGGAGCATCTTTTGAGAAATGTAATCCCTGGAGAGCAGATATCTCTACATTACCCAGTTGGTTTTGGTTGTGGATCAAATCCTGTGTTATTTTTGCTGGTGATTTTTTGAAATAAACAAAGACAGTCTGAGACAAGCCAGTTAGAAGACATAAACCATAAACAAAAATCTGTGAATTTTTGAAGAGTCTAACAATTTGAAATCAAAGTATTAAGCCACTTAAGGAATTTATACCTGAGAAAACAGTCGAAGAGCATCCAGAATTCAAATTGAAAGTAAATGCATATTTTGATGAGTTACTGGCATAGGTTCAAAAATAATCAGACGTAAGGATTCAGCATATTGATTGCTAAAGTAAAAATGTGTAGAACAGCTGGCTAAAAAATGAATGAAACTGAAGAGAAAAGTAATTTGAAAAATAGAATTTAAAAATTATTGTCAAAGTCTAGTGAAATATACTATATGCAATTTTGTGAAATTGCATATACTATATGCAATTTAGTGAAATATACTATATGCAATATTTTATATGCAATTTTGTCCATTGCCTTTTCTACCTATTATTAGGATTGTTAACAGAATGAATATGTTTATGTAATTCCATATAATTACAAATAAATATAATTTATGTATTAAAAGTAAAAATCATGCCCCATCTTCATACTCCACGCAGATAAAATTCATTTTTAAAAAGCTTATTACCACATAGTTTGAAATAACAGAAAATCTTAAAAAAATTACCCTAATAAACAAGTCAATGACTATTTCTTTCCTTTATTACTAATTACTTTTTTTTATATTGTATTTTGTATATGATGTAACCAAAAGACCAAGGAGCAATTATACATTGTGTCTTAATGACTTAGATTTATGAATTATGCGTATAGTTTATTTCAGTCTTTTTAAAGAAAACCTACCTTGGCTTAGAGCCTTCAGCTTATATTAGTAGGTACTATTGTTTAAACTTCCTCCAGAAAATAAGGCTATTTAAGCGTTGATACAATAATAGCTTTTTAAAAAAAAATCTTCCAAAAAAGTTTAGAAGGACTAGTAATGACACTGATCTTTCTAATTGTACTGTTGTCATATTCTGCTATTAGATATACCTATGGCAAACCTGTAGAGGGCAACGTTCTCCTCAGAGTGTGCAGAGAATCTACTTTCTATGGTGATTGTAGACATTTCAATTCAATCTGTAAAAATTTTACTGTTGAGGTAAGAAGTATTATCTGCAAAATCGTAAGTAAGAATGTATTCACCTCAGATCTTCAGTTTAACTACTAATAAAAAGGATTTTTCTAAACGTGTAAAAGAAATAACTTCCTGAAAAATATTTATTTACAAGGTTTGAGAACCAAAATCAGAAAATAGATACAAAAATACCAATCTAAGACCTGGAATACTTTAGTTACAATCACACCAATTAAAATCAAACTAATAGATAAACTGCCAGCTGCCATTCCACATCGTAAATAATATAATACTACTTATTCACACACAAACACAGAAATACAGTTCTATTTTCTCCAAAGAAGACTCGACTGCTTGTGGGGAGGGGAGTGTCACACATAGGCCTCCTGCGTGTGTTAGCAAATGCTTTACCAGGAGGCTGCATCTTCAGTCTTTATAGAGAAGACTTTTGAGTAACAAAAAATATGAGTTTTGTAGTTCTTAAAATGTAAAATTATATTTGAACAATAAGCAAAAATAACAATAACTACTATAATAATAGCTAATAATAGTACTATTTTCTAGTACTTATGGAGTAGTTAGTATTAGATATTATGTTAAGCTTTTTACATATCTGAAAAATAAATATGGTTGAAACTAACAAAATTGCACATATCATGTGAATAAATGTGATTGGAAATTGATGTATTTATCCTGTGAACTGATAGGGTAATGTACAATGAAGATTCTTTTTAAATTTAGCATTATGAGTTAATATTTATGAAAAATTCAAAATTTGTGGTAAATATGTGAATTGAAATTTTAAATTATCGAAGCATAATGAATTATTTTTAAAAATTCAAATAATGGATTATTTTACAAAATTCAAATTTAGATAAAACAGTCCTTAACATTGCATCTCAAAGGTTATACATTTTCTCTAAAATTATTGTTTTGTGTAGTCTTTTTAAAATTTAACTTCTCTTTCATTGCTATTAACATTTCAGCTGGAGAAAGATGGCTGCATGACCCAGCTGATTAACACAGATGCTTTTGAATTCAATCGGGAAGGGTACCATAGTTACCTGGAAGTGCAAACTCTTGTCACAGAAAGTGGAACAGGTGACCCTCTCTAAGTACATACCCCACTAGCTACCCTGTCATTCAAACTGTCACCTAGGGACCAATTTCACAATGTTAATTATTCCTTGGGTAGGATATCACTTTCTCCAATCCAAAATCTTAGTGTTTCTTTAAAGTTTATTAAATGCCTATTGATGAATAGATAAATATTAAATTCAATGTGATTAAATGAGAAGTCAGAGTACTAGTTATTGGTATGCAATGGGTGTTTTAGATACTTATATATTCTCTTTCTCTAATCATTCCACAAATAAATATAACTGAAAATATAAATATTATTTATAAAATTTCATGGGATACACAGAATCTTAACAAGGGAAATAGAGTATAGTCTTGGAAGAATATTTTACCAGGCCCCTGAAAGCTAATGAAATATCTTTATCTCATCACCAGAAATGTATTTCTGATGATTAATTATCTCTGACCTATTGTCTCTCTTCCCTAAGTAGAGAATTACAAGTTCTATTTCTTGAAATGTACTTTTTCTACTCTGACCACTGTCTTCTATCAAGATAGACTTTAACTCAGGCATGTGACATTTCAACAAAATTTCTCTTCATGAGATATTAAATAGCAATATACTTTTATCAATATTCAAAGTTTTTGTTACATCTGTTGTGACATCCAAAGCAAATTAAAGTATTTTGTAAGCATTTAGTGGATAATTAAATTTATCACATTAAACAAAGCAAAAAATAAAAGAATACTTCACGTAATAACATCCATTAAAAACAAAATTATAGAAGAGTCTGAAACTCAATGTTAAAAATGTATTATAAAATTACATATATTTATATATACAAGTAGCAAATTAGTGTATATATTTATCTACATACATAATCCAAACTATATTAATATAAATGACAATGTAAAAGTTAAAAAACTTGAAAATAGTCTAAAATATTACATTTATCTTTCTTTGGAATGTTTAATAATTCAAATTATTTGCTTTAAAATGTTACATTTCTAATGATACAAATAATACTAATTTCTAATGATTACTTTTCTTATAGTGAATAGATCAAAATGCATATTTTAAGCAGAGACAAATTTTTTGAATAATTCTTTAAAAATAATGGGAAATTAATAATTCTGAAGTGATAACTGAACTGACTAATCTGTGAACAGCAGTTGAGACTAACCAGTTATTTTGATGTTTTTCATCTTTAATCATTTTCCTTATAAAAAGATATCTGAAGAAGTACCTATGTGTTCAAAACTGCTAAGGAAAAAGAAACAACTGACAGAAAGGGGGACTTTCGTGGCTTTTTTGTTCTGTGATTCTGGTTACTGTTTGATAATATTTTCCTAATAACACTGAATTTACTGCAGGTGTCCAGATGACAAAAAACAGGAACATATTCATAGATACATCAATGGTGAAAATGAATTTTGAGAATATGGATACATTCTACAAGCAAGGACTCCCTTATTCAGGCCAAGTAAGAGAAGCAGTAATTAATTCCTTTATATGTTCCTTCATGATGTCAGCTCTGTGCTGAGCACTGTAGGAAATTATTCTAAGAGACCCAATTGTCTGTCTTAAGAGTACGGAAAGAAAAATAAAAAGACAGAGACAGACTGTGTCAGTGGCTGGGAAGTCGATGTCTCCAGATGGATCCTCCACCACTCCCAAAGCAGCCAGCATTGCTTGTACTGATAAGACAATGGTACACATTTTGGCAAATAACAATGGCTTAACAGACATGTTAAGAAGCAAAATAATTTTTGTGTTTTGGAAAATTTGGTTCTATGTCAATATAAAGACTGAAACAACATTAAAGAGACAAGGTGGGAAGGCAACTACATAATGATAAAAACATTATGAGAAATTCGTATAAAGCAATAACAAAAATGAATATGATAAATTTGAGGCAATTATGTTAAAAAGATAAAAATATTTTATCAGTGATTAAGAACTCTAGGAAAAGAAGACCTCTAGGATTACCAGGCTGTTTGTTTTCAGTAACTGAATAACCATTAGTTACTCAACCGAGTCATTCACTAAAATACATAAAAGGAAAAAAGAAGCCAAATGAAGTAGTAAATCATTTGATTTGAAAGATTTTTGTAGTTTATTATAAAATATGTAGTATATATGGACCAAGTTTTCAAAGATCTTTATAGGTAGAACAAATAGTATTTAGTGTCATCAATATAGCCATCATATATGATACATACTCAGGAGGAGAAGCTGAAACTACTCAGGAAATGCCTTCAGCCAGAGAGAAGCGTTCACAATGGAGCATGGCAGATTCCATCAAAAATGGATTTTTAAATTTACTAAATACTTGAGAAACTTATTTTCTTCCTCTTATGCAGATTAAGTTGCTTCGTCCTGATGACTCTCCCATTCCAAATGAAGTTATCCAGTTGCACTTAGGAGACAAAATTGTGGGCAACTACACCACAGATACACACGGCATTGCTCATTTCTCCTTTGACACATCTAAGATCACGTACCCAAACATCACCTTGAAAGTAAGTTGTCCCAAGGCAAGTAGAGAAAAATCAAAGGAAAGGTATTAGCAAGTGAAGGTTTAAATATGTGCTAAATTTTTTGTATGGGACAGAAATGAAAATATGCATGTTATTGTGAACCTAGAATGCTGTGAGGCAGTTACATAGTTATTAAAATGAATAAGGGACCGTGTTATACATTCTGTAGAAAGGATACATTTATTGAAGTATATGAAGGAGAAACAGCTGAAGGTCAGCAACACTTCATTCTCACTGTGAAGCTAGAAAGACAATTGCGTTTCCATAGATGGAAACACTTGAGAAACCTTGTAATCTACTTCCATAAAATGATTTAAAGAACTTCTCTGAGTACATTCAATACTGAACTAACCTACTATCCAGAACTATTAAGTATCAGAGATTCTAAAATATTTCTGATTTCCTCAGACTTGTGTATTGTTAATGGTGAATCACCATGTTTAGAATAATAACCCTCTTCCATTTCACAAAATCTTTTTCATGTTTCACCAGAAACCCTTATTATCACTATAAAATCGCCTCTGAATTCACAATTGACAAGAGAGTAATACTCATATACATACCAGTAAAATTATAATTTTAGTACAGAGTATAGAAAAATATTTACTATATTATTGAGCTAATATTTAAATGAATTATTAATACAAAATCATGCAAAAGTCTTCCAAAAGTATAACTAGAGAGTGGGTATGATGAACTGGGTTAGAATTCAACAAGAATGGTCTTGAAACTTTCCTGCAGAGGGGGAACAGCACTATAAGATGACCTTATCAAATTTTTTTTTATATATTCTTTCCTTTTCTCTAAATATAATTGCAAATTTCATCCTCTGTCTAGGCAACGTACAAGGATAACAAAAACTGCAAGGCTCATGGATGGGTGTTGCCTGAATACCCTACACCAGAGTATTTTATACACAGATTTTACTCCAGGACTAACAGCTTCCTAAAGATTGTCCCAGAGAGAGAAGAGCTGAGATGCAACCAGCAGAAGCAAGTGACAGTGCACTATCTTGTCAACACAAAAGACCTGGAAGATAAAACCTATACAGTGAGCTTCAATTATGTGGTAAGAAGTGAAAACATCCTTCCACACCCAAAAGTGTTTCCTGGCTTTCAAGTTTCTTTGAATTTGATGTAAATGCATATATCGAAATATCACCAAAAAACTTCAGAGTATGTACAGAAGAGAAAATTATAAAACTGAAGTTTCTATCAAAAACAACAAAAAAAAAGATTACAAGGAGGACCACCTTGCCACAACCCATAATAACTTCATCATTCTCATGACCAACTTCCATTGGTACATAGCTCAGACAAAATCATCATTCTGAAATTTACCTGCTGTATGTTACTTTTTGAAATCCATTAAGCTCTAGTTAACCTAAAAAATTTGGGGAAGATTCTGTCTCATTATAGAGTTGTTAAAAATAATAGATGACATAACATACATAAAGCCCTTTGCTGAATTCCTAGCAAGTGAAAGACAAATATCAGTTTTCATTATAATCAATTATTAGGATAAATTATTAGTTTACATTACCTAAATGAATGCACAGTCCTTCATCAAGATGGATGTTGATGGTATAAAATTAATGAAACAGTTTAACTCAGTCAAAAACAATTATTGAATGATCTCCATACCCTTGATACTGTATTAGGAAGTATAATAATGGTGTATAACTGATTATAACTGGTTACAAAACATAAATTATAATGACATAAGTGCGACATATGAAACATATAAGGCCACTAAGTTGATCCAGAAGAATAAGAGATTAATTCTCATCACAGTATGGAAATAATACTTCTCAGAGTGTGATCCCAGGCTAGGAGTGCTAGTATCACTTAGAAATAATGACAACTACAAATTCCCCAGCCCCATCTTCAGCCTAGAGAATCAGAAACTGAACAAGTTCTCCTGCTGACTCTGATGCACTACAGTTTAAAAACCACAGAGGGGCCCGGAGGAGTGACTGTACAAAGCAGTACAGAAATTCTGCAGCATTTCAACAATAATACGAGCATGCGAGTATGTGAGGAGTATAAAACAGACTTGAATGAAAAGCTGAACTTCTCAGTCCTTTTAAAGACACGCCAACATCTGCTTTCGCCTCCTCCTTTCACATCGCCCCACCCTTGCTCATCTTGCTATCCAAGTTCCTAATTCTCCCACTCCAGAGTCCAGCCATTCCGCAGGGTGGTGGGGAGAGTGGATCTGCTTCCCACTTGGAACTTTCTGATGTTTCTCCACTCCGATGAGGCCTTTACATTTACCTCCCGTGGTTTTTGTTTTAAAGGATGGCTCAGGGTTACATATGCTTAACATAATTAAAGAAACGATTTTCCTTCTTTACTTCTCTTTCTTTCCTTCCTTCTTAAATCTAGAAACTTAGAGTGATATTTTTCAAAAACAAGATGATTTTAATCCCCTAATGGAAATATATTTGATAATTTGCTAAATATAAAAAACATAAATTAACACTAACCTTTTCTCTGCCTGCTCTGGAACTAAAGTAGGAAAGCCCTTTGTATTCCATTTTTATTTTTCCAACCCGCCCCCTTTAATATGGCCTCCTCACATGTACTTGCTGATGCCCACAGTTCACTTCCTGGTTCTTCATCCACTCAGGCATCTTGGGCACTATGTGTTTCTGTTTCCCATTGGACTTACCTGCTCCCCAAAGTCACAGGGACCTGTCCTGCTCTATCAAAAATCTCCATGTTCTGATTCTGTACTCCCTGCCAGTGAAAGCCTACAAAAACCCTAGAGCATGAGCTGGGAGGCCTGGCTTTCTTTGTTGTTGGGAGGCAGCCAGGCCAAGGCCACCTGTGTGAAACAAAGCTGTTGGCTGCCTCCAAACCCTGGGTGTCCTTTGGGTGTTTCTGCTTGTTCTAGCAGAACTGCTCGGCTGGCCAACCTCATTCCTCATCATTCTGCTTTGCAGCTTTCTCTACTGTGGACTTGAAAGACCTTCTTTCACAAGTTGTGCAGACTCTTAAAATCTTCTCCAGTTTGTTCCCGTGGCTCTCCCAATGCTGCACCCTGTTTTCCTAGTAGATTTTGACTCATCATCCCTCTCTAATTAGAAATGAAACTTTTTTATCTCTGGTAGTTCTACACTTGTTTTCCATAATGAACTTTATTTTTCCTTATACCACTTAACAGATTCTGTGCTTATATCCTTTTGTATGTGGTTGTGGAAGTCACTTGTCTCCTTGTTATTCGCAACCCTCCATCACCTTTGGACTGTTTTGTTGTCTGTTATTGTGTGCATTTGCCTGGCATGTTACACATCCCAGAGGTGGCGTTCATTACAGTACTGTGGTGTAAACAGTGGAAGCCTAATGAGTTGAATTAAGATTTTAAGGGTCAGCATAACTGTATGGCCTGGGGTGATTATCAGTGCTTCTGTTTATTTCATCTGTGATGAGAGCTGTCTTATTTTGAGAAGTCAGTGAGTTAAGGACTAAAAGTCCTCCCACAGGGCCTGGAAACCTCATTTATGATGAGCTTTATGTCTCTTTGTAATATTCTAGTACCAAATACAATATTTGGCAAGTAGTACAGGTTCTGTTTTTAGTTTTTTGTTTTCTTTCACTGAATTAATTATCCAAGGTTGGCTTCCCAGAGAGCTAAGTAATTTTAGAGATTTAAGAAACACTAAAGTAAAATTATTTGCTCTACCAATTTCAGATTGCATGAGTTTATGGAAGTTTTATAGCTCTCCAAATCTCAGTATCTTTTCTAATAATATTCTAAAATTTTAACTTAAATCTACAATTTAAAAACTACAACAAACTATAATAACTTGTTTAATAAATTTCAAGTCTCCTGCCTGTCCATTGGAGATCACAATCCAAATATGCTCGAGTACATTTGCACAAGTTGCTGACAAAGATGAAATGAGAGAAGCAATTTTTTTCAAATTTTGGATCTAGATGGATGAGCAGGTCTTTCCTATACTTTACAGATTAAACACATCTCTCAGAAAACTCTTCAAGAACTCTCCCTGGAAGGCTTCTGTATAAATTTGTTTCTTTAACGTACATAAATTTAGATGTATTCAATGCTTAAAAATATAAATAAAAAGCATGTTTTTCACATACAGTTGAAATGCAATATAGACCATTAACTTGCTTAACAGCAAATTAATATAATTACTAGGGTCATGTGCTCATTTACAAGTATCCTGAGCACAAGGGCAAAGATTTGTATTGTATTTTCAGACTGAAAACAGATAAACCACATAAGTTTATAGTTAAACGAGGTTTTGTATCTATTCCCTAAACTTTATCATAATATCTTTAATTTTCTAGGTGATTTCAAAAGGTGTAATCATTCTTCATGGACAACAGAAAATTGAGATCAAGGCTGATGGTGAGACCTCTGACTTTAGCACACGATTTAATGTAACCACAATGCTTTAATTGAAGTACATTTGATGTTTTTAATACTTTTCTTTAAAAATCACATCCTGTGCATTTTAGGCCTGTTTGCAACCCCAAACTATCCTAAAAATATATATAAAGGCATATGAATAGTAGGTACAATTCCAAATCAAAAAGGAAAGTCACTTAACAGTATTTATAGTGCTAATTATATTCATAACACTATTACAAGACAGACTCATTTGTCCTTCATTTCTTTTTTAAGAAAGACATATAGTTTTGCTTTCAAACAAGAAGAAATAAAACTGAACAAAAACTTCAAAGCTTGGTCAGTGTCCAACATTTCCTTTCTTTTACCATTTACAGAGCAGGTTATGAACTCTTCTTAGATAAGCTATTAAATTTAGGGGACTCACTGGCAGGAGATGGAGGTAGCTAGAACCCAGTGGAGGGTCTCTGCAAAATGAGAATTAACAGTCTCACCAAGGCACTTTCTCTCCTTGGCCTTTTCTTTCACAGCTATGAAGGGCGTATTTTCCGTTCCGGTAGAGGTTAGCATGGCGTTGGCGCCCTCTGCAGTTATGTTGGTGTATGGCTTGCATCCTGAAGGAGAAATGATCGCAGACACCACCAGATTCCAGATTGAGAAGTGCTTCAAAAATAAAGTGAGAAAAAAAGAAAAAGAATCGTTTTTCAGACTCGTTCAACTTATTGGTAAACTAAAGAGAATTTAGAAATGTGTTGGGCTTACACTTCTATTTTTCTGTGTTGCAAAATGGGAAATAAAGGAAAGCTAGAATGGGAACGTCAACATGTTAAATCACTAAAAAAAAAAAAAAGAATTGTTGCACACACTGTGGATGTCTTTCCTGTCATTTTAAGTTATGCATGCAAGTAAAACAATTATTCACACCGAAGCCTTTTCAGAGTAAACCAAAGGATCATTTTCCCATATGATTTGCAATCTCTTCACGCCTTTGTTTAATTTCATTTTCAGGTTAACTTAAATTTTTCTAAAGAAAGAAGTTCCCCGGGATCCAGCGTCAGTCTGCAAGTCTCCGCTGCTTCAAACTCTCTCTGTGCTCTTCTAGCTTTAGATCAAAGTGTGTTGCTGCTGAGGGATTACGGTCAGCTGTCTGCGCAGAGTGTGAGTGATGAACATTACCTTGATTTACCGCCAACTGTAGATATCTATGAAGACCTTAAATAAGCTAAGGAATAAGCAAATTGGCCAGAATTTAGGGAAGAAAAATAGGCTAGAAATCATGAGAAATAACCTCTAGTTAGTTACTGGTTGCACAACTTCCTTTGTGCTAACAGTAACCATTACTACTTTTTAAAAATGTTTTACATTTTATTTTTACCCCTTTAAAAATACATTAGCTGAATGTTTACCACTCAACAATGCTTTCCTAAATGTTCTGATACCGAATACATTGTTTAACTTTAATCTCATATTAAACATATAGAATTAATACAATCCCTCTTTTGACAAATAAATAATCTTAGGCGCAAGATTTAATATATTTTGCAAATAATGTCTTTAAAAGAGTCATCAAAGAATGTCAATTTTAATACTGAACATTAAAATCCACTATCTTGTGTAACAGCTAGTTTCAAAACTAATCCATCAATTGTTTAACTAGTTAAACAATATTTCAGAGTCTTTGCAGCTCTGAGATGCTATTGTTTCTCAGTATGTATCTATTTGTATACTGCTTGTGAGAAAAAGAAGAAATTGCTTTCTTCAAAAAAAAAGCTTGATTCCTTTCTATCATTTAGGTGTATAATCAACTATATTACAAGCAACTATATGGCTATTATTTCAAAGGACTTGACTTAGAAGATGGCCGTAAAGAGCCTTGTCTAGGAAATGAACAAATCCTTTATAAAGGAATTTATTATACGCCTACATGGGCTGACTTCGGAAATGATGCTTATGACCTTGTGAAGGTAAGATAACTAGTTCCTAAAATGGTAACTATGTGTGAAAATATATTAACAAGTTGAAATTAAAACATTAAGGAAATTATCATCATGTGAGTTTGTAATCCAAGAATGTTTGTTCAAAACACTAAATTATAATTACTATTAATATCTGAGAACTAGTAACTCAGAAACTATTATGTTAGAAAAATTAATATAAAGTTTATAATAATCTTAGTAATAAAATAATATTGCATAATTATAATAATATTTTAAAGAATTAATTATGTACTTGAGAGAATTTGTTTCACTGACAGTGTTGTATGCACTTTATACTACCTGGTATATAAGTGCCCAAACATTCTACTCCCATGTCTACCCCTGAATTTAAATTCTAATATATTAAAGTGTGTACATTTTTGAAGTGTTTACAAGTGAGGTATTATCCATAGTCTAGCAAAAATGCCAAATTCAATGTAGTGACCAGATAGCAGAGAGTGATACGAGCTGGAGTTCTTTTTTTCCTCTCTGGTTTAAAGTTTTTCAACAACCAGAAAAAAAGTCCTGAAATTTTTTTTAAAAATCCTTAGGTAAAAGAAACACAGGAAATTGAAAACATAGACTTTAGAAAATGGTCATAAAATACCTCTACATGTGTGACCTTTAGGTCTGGATAGGGACATAAAAATAGGAACAAAGTTAAAAGTTTACACAGAACTGGTCCACACTGTTAGTCACTGCTGCTGTGTAATCTGAAACCTATTTTATCTTGAAAGGCAATGGGATTAAAGGTTTTTACCAACTCTCATCTTCGGAAACCAGTGCTGTGCCAGAATTCAAAACGTCGGATAATCTATGGAGATATTTCAACAAGTGAGTCTTGTATGTCAAGGGCAGCTGATCATTTATAATCTCATAACTCATATAAACCAATTAGAGAAAGAGGGGAGGATGTTGCCCTATTTTATCTTGTTTTTTAATTCATTCAGTGTACCTGTCACATCAAATGTTAGAAACATAATAAGAATAAAGCAGGCAATGGCTATGGTCCCTCTTCGCACTGTAGGGTGTATTTTTATTTTTCCCCCTTTTTACTTGGCCTAATCTTGCTCTGAGGTGCCCTTTTTCCCCTACCCTTCTGTTATTTTCCTAGCTCTGATACATATGAAACTGTCACCATAAGAATAAAAAGAATAAGGAAGGCAAATCTTTATGTATGTGGAGCTGATGTCGAATTTGGGGTGCCAACGATATATAAATAGCATCTTTTTAGATAATAACAAGTATTCTGGTAGTTAATATTTCCTGAATGTTTGCTAGGTGCTGGTAATGTCCTGAGAATTTTCAAATGTCAACCAATTTATTCATCACAGCTTTAAAAGGTTATAAAACTATTATCTCTAATTTACCAATGAAAGAAATAAAGAATACAAGGTACAATAGACAGTAAATAACAGGGAAGGGATTATTATCAGGCCTTCTGGCCACAGGTACATATTACTTTATTATGTTGTACCATCACTCTCAGGACCACTATAAATAAAATAAAACAAGGTAAATGTAGACTATGTGAACTCTATTTAAAATAGAATTTTCAGGGGAAAAAAATCCCTATGAAGAGGTGACTTTTAATCAGAAACTTGAATGATCTGGAAGAATTTCAAGATTGGCAAAAATATTGCCATGAAATGAAGCAAATAGGTAAAAGCTACAGGAAGAGATATTTAGCTTCACCAAAAATCAAATAAAAACTGAAAACTCTGAAGAAACTGATGAACTTACTAATAGCAAAAAGAAATGAACAAAAAATGAAATAATTATAATTATCCAAAAGTAACAAAATAGAGGCACATCGTAGGCATTAGAGAGATCATAATATGGCACACCCATTGTGTGTGGTCTAGAAAGGCATCTGTCTTCTACCCCAGCAACTAAACTTGAAGTGCATCAAGACAAGAGTCTGTAAGAGGGCATGCGTGTTATGGGATGTCAAGCACATTGTCGTCACCTGACAACTCAGGTGGTCATTATTAAAAAGACAGACTAAATATTGTGCAGTGAATAAATACTATGGAACATTTTGCAGCATTAAGAATATAAGTAAATTTTAAGAACAAATTTTAAGGTGTAAAAGAAACAGTACCTGTAATATTGTTTGCATGCATGTAAAATAGACACATTAAACAAAATTTTGTATTTGTCAAGTATGTGGACATATCTAAGATGTATGCAAAATCATTATAATGCTAGTGAATAAAAGGAGCAGTTCACCAGGAAAAATGGATAGCTCACATTTAAATATTTCTGTAGTATGCTTCATGCATGTTATTTTATGTTTGCTTAAATGTAATATGAGTTAAAAATAGCAAAAAGAAATGAAGGCAACTAAGTATATATACAGGCGTATTTCCAAAGAAAGCAAATGACAACTCTAGCTAGTTGCTGGCTTGTGGTGGGCCGCCCAGGAGCCTGACCCAATTTGATGGATGCATAAGTGCTAAAACTGCACAACTCTTTTGTGACTGATACCAGAAACAGACCACTGTAATAACACATGCACATGAAATGGACTGGAATTGTGAAATCAGCCTAGATGTGTCTCCAGACTTACAGCCAAACTTCAGAATAAAAATCTTAAGACTCTCCAGCTGTTGCCATTTAAAGGCATCCATAAAATCTCCTACTGAATACATTATCTCAAGAAAGAACTCTAAATTCCTGAGCAGTATTATTCTTGAAAGACGCTAAAGCACAATTTGTAACAGCTGAATCTTGGAAACAACCCAAATGCTCAAATGCCCAAAAACCAAGAAATGGATTTTTTAAATATATAGTTTATTTATACAGTAGAGTAGTACTCAGCCATAATGAAGGAAAAGTTGAGACATTCATAGATGGGATAAATGAAGGAAGGGAAAAGGAAAAAGTATATGCATATACACAAAAAAAGATAGTTATTCAGATAGTTTCTCTTAGTTCATTGAAAACAAAGGTTTGTGCTAATATTGTTTGGGCAATATTTCATGCCTATATCTTGTACTCTGAATAATAGTATGAGATAACAATGCACAATGTATTAATTATTGTTACCCTCTTATTAGCCTGTTCTGAAATTCTATTGTATTGCTGTTTTTATTTTTTCTCTTTAAAAAATGTACTACTGAGACTTATATCAATAATTCAGTAAATGATAACTGCTTCTATTATTAAATGTTATCCTTAAAACCTAACTTCACTTAATAAGAAACTTTTTTGACCTCATGAATATATAATAGCTAATTATTTTCCCTTTCTCCAGATCAATTTTAATTTTTATTTTCTTTTTAATTAGCAAAAGTAATTGCATTTTTATAGAGTTTCAGTACATGAATACATTCTAGAATGAATGATCTAATCAGGCTTATTAGCACGTATAATACTTCAAATATTTATTGTCTTTTTACTCAGCATGTCTAACATTTTCTCTGTTAGCTGAATCTTCAAAATTACTAGCAGGTTCAGATGTTGGTGCTGCTGGACTTTATCAAGAAACTGTGAGGAAATTATTTCCTGAAACTTGGGTTTGGAATCTTATCACAACTGAGTGAGTCATTATTATTATTGCTTTTGTCATTATTTTTCATTTATGTTTTCTATTTCCCTGATAGAAAATATTCATAGCATGTATCAGTCTCTCAAAGTAAATGGGCCCCAAATATTGAAAATTAAGAAGCTATGTAAAAAAAATTCTGCAGTCTTTAATAGGTTTCTACTACATTTCCTTTTCCCTTTTATATTCTCCTTTTATGTCTTTCTTATTTCCATTTCTCACTCTGTTACTTTTTTAACCGAAACTTTATTTATTTATCTATCTACTTAGTTATCTATCCATATGCATATAAAAACTTTCAATGAAAAACAGCATCATGCTGATTGGTTACATGTAAAACTGTGAAGCATGTACACCTATGACACTTATATACTCAGCCATTTCAATAATATGAATTTCCCCCAATTGTTCTAATTTTTGTCACTTATATTTATTAAAATTTAATTTTGTTAAAAAAAAACTTGAATGGGACAGTACGAAACAGTCTGAAATTTTATTTTCTGCTGTATAATACTCATCAAATATGTATGGATATAAAGGAGAAGAGGAGAGAGAAGAAATAAAATGTCAAAAGGGAAATAGAGGAAGAAGAAATCATGAAAATGGGGAAGGAAAAATGGAGGTTGAGAAAAACGAGTTTCTAAATAAGTGTTAAAATTCAAATATGAGGCTAAGGTGTACATTTTAAACTTGAAAACTATTTATGGGACTCATATTTCTAAAACTATCAGTAAAGTTTAATAAATGTGCTTTAAATAAATACACTTAGTTTAATAGTGTTGAACAAAGGAAAGAATGCAAAGTCAATAGAATGCTCTAATTATACATCGTACGGGTAAAAATCTGCCTTCAATGTAGCCTGAATTTCCTTGTGTAGTGCCACAGGAGTCGCCAACCTGAGTCTTACTGTTCCTGATACCATTACACAGTGGAAGGCCAATGGCTTCTGCATGAATGACAACACTGGATTTGGCATCTCCCCGACTGTCACCCTGACAGCCTTTCAGCCCTTCTTTGTGGAAATCGCCTTACCCTATTCAGTGGTTCAAGGAGAATCATTTATTCTGAAAGCCAGTGTGTTCAACTATCTGAACAGAAGTGTCCAGGTACTAACTCAAATCTTCTTAGAAATTGCCGTTTTATTTCCTGTGTAAACTATTTTTAAATTTCAGTTGAACTTGTCTTCCCTAATTTTTTAAACATATTGCTGGCTGTATGAACCATTCAGTGCAACTGGGAAATATGTATCATTCTATCTTGATGGCTGGCTGACCATAAAAGAATTTAAGACAAGCCCTAGTATTTAAGTTAACTTTTTCCAGGTGTGTGAGAGGAGAATGAGTGGGAATGTCTGGATGAAGAGATATTTTTCACCTTCAGTTATCCAACATAACCAAGAATTTTATATGTAAGACTTTCTAAAGCAAAAGGACTGATGAAATAATTGTACTACATGTTAAGCAGATATTTTAATTATTTACCTTTCTCCTTTGAATTACCTGAGGATGTACTGAATATGTATACCTCTTAGTGGTTGACTTTAGACAGCTAGGCAATATCTATCAATTTTATAGCATAAAAATCCCAGAAGTTTAAGTTTGAGTTCACCTATTAGTTTTTTCACTGTCTAGTTTACCACCCTCTCTCAGCCTCAGTTTGTTAGTGTGTAAAATGTTACCATTATATATTTGGTTCAGTGCTTATGAGAATTAAATGGTATAACAGTGAATCTTGTACAATGTACTATAAATAGGCATTGTATTTGGTTTTTTCTATATAATTTTATATAAACAAGTTTCAACACTATCTATACTAAAAATATGGTCCTTGATACAATGTACTAGCTTTATCTTTATATAAATTTCCAACGGTATAATCCCAAAACTAACCTTCTTTTGACATCCAGTTAATGCAACATCAATAAATGGTAGGTGCAGCATGACATATCCAACATGACAAGTAATGTACACAATCAACGTATTTTTACTTTCAGTGACCCTGTTTAATAAGGCCAAGATATACCTCAGTGCTAGAACATTTACCTGCATGCAGAAGGCTCATAGTTTAATCTCCAGCACCAGAAAAACTAAAACTGAACATTTAAAAAATGAAAATCTATTGAGCTTTTCAGGGTGCAGCAGTGAGAAAATATACATTTTTAGAAAAAATAACACCATGTTTAATAATCAAGGAAGTTTGTGTTACTTATTTGTTAGTAAAGTTTTTTATTTGTGAATGAGTTAGGATGAACTGTTCTAGACATCTTGTATGTTACTTGCTATACATACGCAGTTACCATAAACTGTAGATGATGCTGGTTTCAATTTATAAATAAGAAAAAGGAAGCTATAGCTTATAAGAACATATTATATATATCCACCCAGATTGTTCATAATACTTGCTTATTTTGCTATAAATTTCAAAAGAAATCTATTGTTGATTATGTCAATAAACTATTGACTGACTTTTCAAAATAGGTCAGATTATTATAATTAATTAAAAGGATGTTGATAGTTCTTCATGATTTGAAAACCATCCTTCCCACAGCATAAAATGTGAAAGCTAGGAAATTTATTCTAGCTTCTCAAATATGTGGGTGTCCTACATTTATGCATGCAAAGGTTTAAATCTTCCTTCTCTCTTCTTGTTTCTCTCTTCTTCTCTCCTTCTCTCAGATTAATACTGAACTGAAAGCATCTAATCTTTATGAAGCCAAATTTCTCTCAGCTAATAAGGAAAATGATTATACAAGGAGCAATGAGAAAAAATCTTTGAGCTGGCTGGTTACCCCACATAAGCTGGGTAAGATTTGTGGTTACTGCGTGTTTTTACATTCATTTGTACATTGTCTAAGAGATTATTCTACTGTTTCCATGCCATAGCCAATTTACCCACTTCTTGGTACTAGTACTTACCTACTTTCCTATTCCAATTACCTGGCTTTTTCTCTCTTACAACCCAAAATGAATCTACCTGGGTCCAGGGTTGGGAAGTTGGAATCAAGTTCTGCAATAAGTTAAGAATTCATATTTTTAACACTTTAACAGCGTTAAAGTGTTTTGATTATTTTAGTAGTTTACCTCAACTTGAGTAAAAAATGATCACCGCATGCTCGAATCTCTATTCTAATAATTTTACCATTTATATTTTTGCCATTTCAGGTGTGATCAACATCACTATTACAACGAAAACCCTTCAGAACAGTGACTATGGGAAAGGATCATCCCTTGATCAGGACATTGGCTGGAAGGATACATTGATCAAACCATTGTTGGTAGAGGTAGGACCTCAAAGTAACATTTATCTAAATTTATATTTATTCCAACACTATTCACAACAGCTAAAATATAGAGTCAACCTGATTGCCCATTGTCAGAAAAATGAACGGAGAAAAGGCAGCATAAAATATACAATGGATTTTCATTCAATCATAAAGAATGCAATCCTTTCACTGGCAACAAAATGGATAGAACTGAGGGCATTATTATGTGCAAAATAAACAAGAGACAAAAAGACAAGTACCACAAGTTCTCTCTTCTATTAGAAGCTACAAAAAGTAGACTTGAAAATAGAATAACAGTTATTAGGGATTGAGAAGTGTGATAGGAATGGCAGACTTAAGTAGTGCATGGTGTATGTGTACATAGAAATAACACATGAATTCTATTACTGTGTATGATTAATACATATTAATTTTAAAAAATTAAAGACATGGAGAAAAAAATCTGTCCTTCAAAAACTTTGTAAAGAAGTATTAAGTATCACTTTCAAGGTTCAGAGAAATAGGAGTGATCCACTTATTCAAAAAATACAATATATTACTTTGATTAAATATTTAGAAAATTAGGCCAGGGACAGATATTTAGTCCACACTATGGAAAGAACCTTTAAAATAAAGTGCATAACATTCTTGAAATAGAATGATAAGATTTTGAAGCTTTAGACTTTTTAGTTAGTCCTTGCTTGCAATTTTAATGATATTTAACTGACAGAACATAAAATCACTGTTCAGCATTATCTTGTACCTTAAAATTCATATACTCATTATCTATAATAATTTTGGATGATTATTTGTTCTATTTAAATATTGTTATTAATATAAAAATTCTGAATTTACTTGATGTAAGATTGATTACAACTGCCCTCTGTTCTTCTCCCAACAATTAGCCCGAAGGTATTAAAAAGGAGACAACACAGGGATTGTTTATTTGCACCAATGGTAAGTAGACAACCGTACAGTCTTACTAACATGGAAGCGTTGTCTTTGTTTGGAAATTTAATTACATTATGCTTTCTTCTCAGAAATATGGCTACTGAAAAAGGTTAAGTTACTTACAAATAATAAAAGCTAACCATCCTACACACCAACGTAAATGTAAACATTTAGGTTTTCCATTTTCTCTACTCCCCAATTCAGAAATCCTAGCTCCTTGATTTTTGTTTAGCTCAACCCCAACTCTTACATTCTTCCTATCCAAGCTTTGATTTGGTCATTAAAATAATCACAATTATTAAAAGTATTCTGTCAAAAGACCACCACCAAAGTAGAATCATCACTACTTAATATGCGTTAATTGTAAACCTTCTCCTCCCACCCCCATCTTTGAGCCAAATAACGGCAAGTCTTTTTTGAGTTACCCTATCCTGAGTGGTTCACCATTTGTCCAGAGCTATGACTCATAACCATTGCCTAAAAATTTTTCCCCAAAATGCAACTCCTAGATTACCTTACAAATTATACAAAACAAAATAGAATGCTGTTATTATCTAATTATTTTATGATGGCAGCTATTTGTTTCTTTGTTTGAATGTTAGAAATATAAAAGACTCCTGAAATTAGAGAATTCAGACATCTCCACTTATTTTCCAGTATTTTATCACATTAAGGAGCACGCTCTGGTAAGGGAGGACTTTAACACCAGTGTAGGAAGCACACTGATTCTGGATTCATAAAACCTATGTTCAGACTCTGTGATTTATTATTTTGAATTGTGTGACATTCCAAATCTCCCATTTTTTGGCCTGAACCTCCTTTTCTAAGGGGCCAGGGAACACACCTGGTCTGTACATATACGTTATTTTGTAAATATCTAATTAAATAATATGTGTGAAAGTATATAATAAATTGTAATGTACTTTCCAAAATTAAGGTTTTATCATATGATATAATATAATTTCCCATGAAAAATTTTTTAATTAAATCTGATTAGTTATACTTCAAGAAATTATTTTGACCTTTTTCATGATTATTTTACAGTTTTGAATAATCAATAAGGAGGAACTAAGTTATTTAGTAATCAAAAAGATAAATTATCACTGACATCAAAACTCTCATTTTAAGATTAGAATTGTGAATTAATTAATTTTTCTGTTTCCTAGAATCCACGGTATCTCAACCAGTAGTGCTCACTTTACCAGAAAATCTGGTGAAAGATTCCCTCAGAGCCTATTGGACTGTTCTTGGTAAGTCTACAGTACTCTCACGTGAGGGAGTCAGACATGGGCTTGGAGGTAAAGGAAAAGGTGTGTCCATTTCTGCCATGGTTCTGCTTGTTAGTTTGTCATTTCTTTGGGTTCCATGTCTGCCCTCAGAACTTGTTCACTGAGGTAGACACCCAACTATAGGAACAACTCAAGTGTCAGAGCTTCCAAGACACTCACTTTCTGACCCTTCCCTTTTCTAAAGATCATTTTCATAAAATTTAGTGCAGGCATTGACTTTTTGCCTGGTTTCTCTTATATGATCACCCAGGTAAAGTTCTGGTATTTTCTCATAATCCAGTGATTTTTAGGGCATCTCACATACTTAACCAGTAAACAGTGATGTCAAACTCCTTTCAATTGGAGTTGCAGAACTCGGTAAGAGTAAGCAGCACTCCACACAAGTTTAATGGTCTTTGCAGGCCAATGACCAAAGCTATGCAAAACTCCTCACTGTTTAACTTGCGAGACCTAAGACACTAGAGCCTTAGCAAAGTGCAAACAACTAGAAAAATTTCTAGGTAATAAAAAATAACTATTGAACACTTCAATACATAAAACATAAATTATATGTAAAAATTTAAAGTTGTGTGTACCTGTAATTGTCTCATTTTTGAAAACCAGAAAACTACTCTCTCTCTCTCTGACTCACTCACAATTTCAAAAATATTTACTTCCATGATTTATTTCCATCATTTTTCACAAATCCTGACATGTTTAGTCTCCACACTCTCCTCATCACCTATGTACTTCCCGGGGGTAAGATTTAAATTGGAGATCTGAAGAATGCAGTGGAAGGGATTGTACTCAGTGCAGCATTGTGGTTAAATTCTGTATTGTTGTGGTGGGTAAAATACACACCACAAAAGTGCTAGTGATAGGAAAAGTAAAATAGAGCATCCTCCAAGATCAAAACCAAGCAACACCTGGGCTTAGTTGAGTTTCCACTTGAAGCACAATGATATCTTACCAATTCATGGTAAATATGAACCATCATATCCATGAAAATCATCCTAAATCATTTTTATTTTTGTGATCTAATTTGCAAATACTTTGATTTCCATTCACTTACTGTATGAGTGAATTCACTTTTGCTTACTTTCGTGAGGACTTTTGCACTGATGTTCATCAGGGTTATTGGACTAGTTTTATCATATACACTACTGTCTGACTTTGGTTCAAGGGTGACACTAGTCTCATAGAGTGAATTTCGATCTTTACCCTCCTCTTTAGCTTTTTAAAACTCTTTAAGAAGCATTGATTTTAAATATTCCCTAAACATTTTATTGAATTCACTGTGAAGCAATGTGGCCTTCAGTTCTTCCTTGTTGTGAAATTTTTGACTGTTTATTGTGGTTCATATTTCTATTTTTTCATGATTTTGTCATATTAAATTATTCGTTTCTTCCAGATGTTAGCCTACAGTTGGTAGAACTGTCACATGATTCTTTATACTTGTATGGTGTCCACTACAGTGGCTCCTCTTTCATGTCTGAATTTCTTTTTTGACTTTTTTTCTTATTCTAAGTAAGAGTTTGTCAATTTGGGTTATATTTTCAAAGACTGAAATTTTTAGAAAATGTTAGTGTCATTTATTTCTGCTGTGACAATTTCTTTCCTTTTAAATTTGGGGTCTTTGTTCTGTTTTGGTTTCTTCTGGTGACATGTTAGGTAGTTTATTTGAACTTTTCTTTTAATAAGATTAGCACTTTTACTGCTTTGTTATATCCCGTAAATTTTGGGATGCTTTGTTTCTACTATTGTCTGTCTCACGATATTTTTTATTTCTCTTTTGATCTCTTCTTTGACCCATTTGTTGCTCAGGAATGTTTATTTAGTTTCCACATATTGTGACTGTTATTGGTTTCTTCCTTTTACTAATTTATAGCTTTATACCCTTCTAGTCAGAAAAGATACTTGGGATGACTTTGATCTTCAAACTATACAAGTTCTTGGCAGTGACTAAGCAGAGCAGATAAGAAAATGATTCTCCCAAAAGCGTACATAGATTTAAGTTCCAGATTTAATTTATGCTGTATCGCTGTGAATAAATTGTTCAACATTTGTGCCTCATTCCTAATCTTTTTTGTAAACCTAGTAATATACTTCACAGATTATTATGCAAATTAAATTTAGATGCTAATATCCCACTAGATAAATGATAAGGCTATATAAGTGTTAGTTATTGGAAGAAAATGTGTAGGAAGTAGGGAAGTCCAGGATCTCTGAAACCATATTACCTGGACCTGATTCTACTGCATATCGTTTGGATGATGTTGGAAAAAATCTTTAATCTCTGTTTGTCTCAGTTTCCTATAGATCACAGGAGTAGTATTTATTTATATTGTTGTCCTTAGTACTGAATTTAGTATGGGTAAATTGCTCAGGATATCTGATACATGGTAAACATTTCACAAATGTTCATTTAGATCCAAATTCTGCCCCTTTTGATTGATATTTGGCATGGAGTTTCTGCTTCATCACGAAAGCTCTCAGAACTTTTGATTCCCACAAACATTTAGCCCTTCTGCTCTTGGCTGTGCTGCACTGGATAATGTATCTCCACATTTTATGATGAGTATCTAGCAAATACAAAAGAGCTCAATAATATAAAAAGAGTTTTCTTGAACATCATGCGACAGAAGTCATGAGCACAAGCTTATGTTTACCTTCTCAGTTTGTATGAAATTCAAATTAATTTGATTGTCTTTGCAGGAGACATTCTTGGTTCTACCATGCAAAACTTACAGAATTTCCTACAAATGCCTTTTGGTTGTGCAGAGCAAAATATGGCCTTATTCACTTCCAATATTTACATTTTGGACTATCTGAATCAGACTCAACAACTGACAGAAGAGATAAAATCCAAAGCTATTGGGTACTTGACTGCAGGTAAAGAATAAATTTAAAATATTCTCAGTTTAATATCTGAATCTTAGCTGTTTTGCTTCTTAATGCATGAACATATCTTTCTACAGGTATACATTCATTTATCTTCTTTATAATAAACACAGATATGCAGGTAATTGAATTTTTGTTCTTAACAGTAAGTTTTAGATTAAAAAAGATAGTATCTCTTTCCTTATTCTAGGATATCAGAAGCAGATGTCTTATAAGAATCATGATGGATCATATAGTACTTTTGGATATAACGATGAGCAGAAAAATACATGGTCTGTATTTTTTATCATTTATTTTAATACTTAAATATTTCTAAATATATTCTTTAATGTAGATTTCTGGGAGTTTTATAGAAAGCATAGACCATCTCCAAATTATTTATATTCAAGCCAACACACACACAACACATTCTTTTAATAGGATATAGGTTCAAGAATTTATAGAATTTTTATCTTTTACTTAACACAAAATGCATGTTTTAAATAAGAAAATCACTAAGCAAAAGACAGTAACTGAGCATTTCCAGTTAAGGGATGTGAAACTATTTTGTTGTATAAACAAATTATCCCAGTGGAAACATTAATATCATCCCAACTCACCAGCAAAGATTCAACATTCCTTCTGCTAACATAATTTCACACAGACATTAACTGTATAGACACGCAGGCTCTAATGAAATCAGAAAAATGCATAGGGCAGTTGATAGATATTTGCTGTAAAAGTGAAAAAAACACCTAAACAAAATATAAGTATAAGTTGTGCTGTTATTTTAAACCTAAAAAATGATGACTTTGAGAAGCAAGTTATAAAATTTATTCCTTGTAGGATTAATTATTCAAACATATATTATCTCACTACTGTGTCCCGGGAACAATAAATCCTTGAGGCACAAACTGATATGCTCTCATTACAATAATAACTACTATTTCTTTTGTAATCAAATGTGATTAGTTCTCCTGACAATCCAGTAGAGCAGATAACAGGATAATATTCACATTACAAATGAAGAAGCAGAAACACTATTAATTTTCTAGGGCTACACAGATTTGGTAGCTGAAACAACAGAAATTTACTCTCCATGTATTCTGGAATGTAGAAATTTGAAATCAAAACCTTGGCGGGACTGACTTGTGAGGCCTCTCTTCTCAGCTGGGAGGTGGCCACCTTTTTCCTGTTTCACATGGTCTGTTTCCTGAGTGTCCAAATTTCCTTTTTTGTAAGAATACTAATCCCATTGGGTTAGAATCTATGGAGATGACCTCATTTTAACTTCACTTTAAGGCCCCATTTCCAAAACTGGTCACATTCTAGAGGTTGAAACTTTAGCATATGTATTATGAAAGAAGCACCGTTCAGCCCATACACTCAGAGATTATTAAATAATTTTCCAAACTCACTATTAACCATGTGACAGAATTTTAGTATCTTTCCAGAATCTGATCTCTTACTCATTATGTTATTTTGCCTGGAAATAATAAATGATCCTTGATCTCAGGGAGTCTGTAGTATATTAGTGAGGGATAAGAAAGCACTTTAGAACACAATGTAACAAAAGGTACAATAGAATGATGCACATAATGCTGTGGGAGCTAATAAAACAAAGTGACAATGCCCAGAAACTGTGTCAAACAATGCTTGAACTACAGGAAACGAATGTCATGCACACAGGAGAACCTGACCTAGTACTATCTGTAAGGAAAGCCACTCTGCATGCGCATCACTTGTGTGTGGATAAATCACTTTCAAGTCACTTATTATATGTCAAAACATCACATCTGCTTCATCATGGCTGTTAATTTTTGTAGTTAAAACAGTTTTTAATGTCTAGTGCCTTTCCAAATGTTACATGCTATAAAGAGAAAAATGGGGACATCACAGAGGAGGCATCTCTTCATCTGGGACACAGATGATGAATGGGGAGGAGGAAGAGACATGTAACCAAATGCTTCACTTTTGAAAGACATGGATAATTTACAGTCATACATTAGGCTGGAATTTGGGGAAGGAATTTTTCAGGATGTGAAGTTCAAAAATGCAGTTGCAATAAACCACTAATTTTAATGAAAATTTGACTCCCAATGCTGATTATAAACATGCTTTGTATGTGGTTCTTTTCAGGCTTACAGCATTTGTATACAAGTCGTTTGCGCAAGCCCGACGCTATATTTATATTGATGACAAAGTACAGTCTCAGACCCTTATTTGGCTTCTAAGTATTCAGAAATCAGATGGTTGCTTTTCAAATTTTGGCAATAATTTCAACAATGCTTTGAAGGTATTGAAGGATTTCTGCCTGTCGGTTTTCATTTCTGTTGTCAAGATCATTTAATGAATCCCGTGTATCCTTGATGAAATTGATAGAAATTACTAAACTAAAATTTCTATTGGTATAAATCATTATCTTGAAAATTCATATTTTAACAAATAAACAATTTTCCTTCAGTCAGATTTTAAACTCTAGAAGATTCTAACAGTGTTTATGGTGTTTAGGGTGGGGTGCTATGGCAGAATTACTAGTAGTGAAAGTAAAAATAATTAGAGAACCTAATTACTAATATTTCAATGCCTTATCATTCAGAGAAGTTCTTTTATTTATATTATTTCATTATTAGGATCTAATTTGTTTATTTTTTATTTGTTAAAATCTTCAAGCTAAATGTTCATGAATAAATTTGTCTTTCTGAAGTTTTCCTAAGTTAACATTTTTCTGCATAACTATTATAGAGGTACTTATTTATTGAAAATGAACAGAAATTTAATGTAAGAAATTAATATTATCCTGTGTCAACAACTCAGAGATAACCACCTTTAATGTTGTGACAATATTTCCCTTCAGTCTTTTTTTCTAATACTATATGAACATAATTGAGATTATCCTTTCCTGAGTTTTTAATTCTTCTATTTTGAAGCCTAACATTATATTTAATGACTCCTCCATGGCATCACAATAATAAAAGCATAAAATTGACTGGTTTATATATGGATAAAGCATATATCAGCAGGTCTATCATATGGATAAAGCATAAATCGTTTACATCATTTGTTGATATTTTGTTGAACTTTTAATAATGTTGAAGAAACTCAATCAAGAGTTGTATAAACATTCCTTTAGTGCATAAATATGTGCCTCAAGGTTATTATTGACTTGGAATATATATCTAGAAGTGAAATTTTTTAAGATTCTAAAATAATGTCACTAGATTGATCTTTAGTACAGTTGTGCCAATTTACATTACTTCTACAAAGGGAGTATCTATCTGACTTATAATACTGCAAATATGAAAAAATTCTTCAGAAATACAGGAAATGTCCTAGTCATTTTCCCATTGCTGGAACAAAATACCAACCCCTGATACTTAGAGAAAGAGAAATTTATTTTGGCTCATGGTTTCAGTTAAGGACTCCAAAGCAGAAATAGCACAGTAGAAGGACTTGCCAAGTGGGATCAAGAGGCGGAAAGAGTGGGGAAGGAGGGAAGGCACAGAGATGAGCAAAAGGAATTGAGATATGTTGTGTACATGTACCAGCTTCCCACAAGGAATGTAAACGTTATATACAACACACATGCACTAAAATTCTAAAATAATGAAAAAGAAAGGCATAACGAGGAAAATGTGCTCAATCCAGGGCAACCAGATATCATAGAGGACTCTGGCACATCAGTCCACCCTTCCAGGTCACAGCCCTACGGGGCCCACCACCAACCAGTGCCCAATCCTAGAAGCACATTCAGGTACTGACCTCATTGATGATAAGTTCAGCTTCCTCATTACCAGTCACCCTCCAAGCATATGAAACACTGGAAACATTGTAGAAATAAGCCTTAACAGAGCACAGAACAAAGGACCATTCTCTGCCTGTTTCTGTTTACTAATTAATTGTTTCAGAAAACAAGTATTTTTCACGTTAAATTTCAGTTTGCATTTTCCCTTTTGTAATAGCCCATTAAACTTTAAGGGTAACTGTGATTTTATTTATAACTAATATCATTGACCTGCTAGAATTTATTTTATTCCTTTGTGTGGTTTATCTATGGTTTATTTCCATATTCTAAGTAGTTCACTACCTAAAACACCTCTGTTAATCAATCAATATTGTCTGTATTTATTGATTTTTGAGAATTTTTTATGTTGCTTTTGTACTTACCAGGATTTCTTTCTATTCTAGTTGTTCCATTGATGAATATACTGGGGTTTTTTCATGCTGTATTATTTTATTATACTATTATTCATGCATTTTCCATAACACTTCTCATATTATGTCTAAACTGAGGGTGAGGTTGAGGAATGGGTATTTTGCCAGACATTCTATTGCCTCCTTTCATTCCAGATGTCTTCTTAGTCTTATAAATAATTTATATACATTATGCTTCTATTTGTATAAATTTCTTACATTTTCACTCACTATTTTATCATTTTATGAATAGTAGCTTGTAAGGATATGAAAAACTTCACACTCCCCCAAAAAAAGTGTGAAAAGAATTCAAGCATAATGATGCACACTTTTAGTTCCAGCTCCTCCAAAGGGTAAGGAAAGAGAATTACAAGTTCAAGTCCAGCCTGAACAACTTATTGGAGCCCCATCTCAAAAATAAAAAGGAGGCTGGCTGTAGCTCAGTAGTAGTGTGCCCTTGGTTTTGATCCCTGGTACCCACCCCCCAAATAAAAAAGGAAATAACCAATCTGAGTTTTCAAAGTGCATTGCATTTCTAAAGAAAGATGTCCCTTCCTCTGAATTCTGTGAAACTCACTTGTTACCCCTGTGCTTTATTCAGGGAGAAGAAGATAATAAAATCTCTCTCACTGCTTACGTCGTTAATGCCCTGCTTGAAGCAGGTCACCCAGTCTCAGTAAGTAACCCATGGTGATACCACTAACTTGCCTCTTATAAATCCAAAGCATCTTTTGCCATCAATATAATAGCAAGAGCTATACTTTATATTTATAGCTATCACAAAGTGATGTCAAACCAATACCTTTCTCAATCAATCCAACCATGCAGGAACTGTTCTTAGTTCTGTGTATCAAAAGATGAAAATGCAAAAATCAAGTAAATGTGTTCATTAGTACTTTGAACATTTCAACACAGACAAGATTCATTCCTGATTCTTTCCTGTGATTAGCATACTTTCATTTGTGTTTTCATATATGTATTGAGGTGCACAAATGACTTTTCTTTCCTTTGTAGTTTGTAGCAGTTCAAAAGGGTCTTCAATGCCTAGAGGATGCATCTCACAAGGGAGATTTGACCACATATGACCAGGCTCTCTTGACCTACACTTTCACTTTAGTAGGCAATGAAGACAAAAGAGAATTCTTCTTCAATGAGCTGAGAAAAAAGGCAAAGAAAGTAGGTGAGTGACCTCCTCCATTCTTGGAGTGAGATGTTGAACAAGTAAAATGGCTAGTGGTGGTACAATTATCAGCGCTTGGTATTTGTTTGTTTCACATTGTCGGTTTCACACTTCCTCAAGTGTCACCTGTTTGCCCACACACATGTATCTTATGCTTTGACAAAGGCACTACTGACATCCTTTTACTTTTCCCCCAGGTGGCGCAGTCTACTGGGAAGTGAAAGAGTCATCCTCTTTCTATAACCACTGGGCTTCCTCTGCAAACATAGAAACGAACAGTTACATCCTGCTAGCTTTCCTTTCTAAGCCAGGGCTGACTTCGGAAGAGCTATCCTACAGTTCGCAGATAGTGCAATGGGTGGCAAAGCAGCAAAATTCCCGCGGAGGTTTCTCCTCCACCAAGGTAACTTACATATATTTTTAAATCTCTAAATGCCAAAACGTTGAGGATCTTCTTTGCATTGACACTATTGGCCTTTGAATGTACACATTATGTTTATCTAACCAGGTAGATTTGTTATCACTATTAAACTTGCTATTTATTAATTTGCCATATTTTAAGATTATGGAAAATATGATTCTTTTAACCTGTTAACAGTTTCTAAGTATTTATTCAAAAATTTATTTTTATTCAATTATTAAATGGAAATTTAAATATCTACCTGCTAAATTTTCTAGGAAAAATTAAAGGCTATCAGAAAAGTGGCATCAGTGAATTATTATGATCAACATGAGAATAATTTTCACTATATGGCTTCAAAATCATTTGCATACTCTCTTTTGATCTGATGCAATAAAAGCAGTAACTCATTCTGAGTAGTAAATAAATCTTCATGGGGTCTACTTACATGGAATATGGTTTTTTTCTTTTTATTATGTTTTTCTTTTTTAAAATCCTTTGTACTTCCCGTGTGATGAATCACCAGATCATACATTTCCTACTAAGAGTCTAAGTCTTTTTCTTGATCATTTATAAGACTTTTGGATAAAGATTGTAGCTATGCTACACCTAACACCCTATCCAAGTTCTCATCATCCTGAGGCTGTGCAGCAGGCTATTTTCTTTTCATTTTTGCTTCAATTAATAATGCTGTTCAAGGTTTTCACTCTAATACTACTCTAAGACTAGCATTTAAACAAAAAAAATAAACAAATACATATCTGCATTTTCTGTATTTTTGGATTAACTACATTTCAATTATTCATCAATTTATGATGTATGTGAATATAAATTTATTGTAAGCTGAAACCCAGCCTGATATTTTAAAAGGTCAATGGAATATCTGTGTTATATACATCATTTATTTAGCCAGTTGTTTAAAATGCTTCTCTTAGTGGAAAATGCAATTTAAAATATTTTCTTGTCTTTTTAAGCTTTTTATTTTTTCCACAGATTGTTTGGCCTTGTATTTTTAAATATCTGGGAAAACAAAGCCTGACTCTGTAGACATTTTTTTATTTTTATTTATTTATTTATTTGTATCAAGAATTGAACTGAGGACCTTGCACTTGCCAGGCAGGTGCTTGTGCTGCTGAGCTATATCCACAGCCCTAGACATTTTTTAGAAATGTCCTCAGCTCTTCTTATATTTTTATTCTATCTGATAATGTTTCCGTCTGAATTAAAGAATCAAACGGAAATTTTCCCAAAAGCTTCATTTATTTTTGATAAAGTATACAAAGTATAGTTCACAAAATAATTTTTAAATTCCAAAAACAGATAGCATTTTAAATTAACTTTCAATGGCTAACATTTATATTGAACTTGGATTTCAGAGTCCTAGGACGTTCTCTCTAATATCATTTCTGTCATTATCATTTTAGGACACCGTGGTTGCTCTCCAAGCTCTGACGCTATTCCAAACACTCACATTTTCTAAAAACAGACACAATTCAGTGCAGATTTTCTCTGACAGATCATTTAATAGGTCCTTCTTAGTAAATGATGAGAATCGCCTGGTACCACTAGAGATTTTAATGCCAGAACCTTCAGGACAGTTCACTGTGAAAGTGAGTGGCAACGGCTGTGTATACGTACAGGTAAATTGGGGCTTTTTCTTTCCTTTGCATTTTAAAGTAAATTAGCATCATCATAAGGTAGTCACTGTGCATCTCCAAAACACTCCATCTTGTAACTACAAAGCCTTCGTCATAGCTAACCCAAACTGATAATGATTTGTAATATAAAATAATTAATTATCCCTAGTGTACTTTGTCTTTTTTTTTCCAAACCAGGATTCATTTAAAAACTTGCTTTGCAATTGTCTATTGTACTTGGTAAATATCCTTTAATTTTGTATATCTACCAAGTTTTATGTTTTTCTCGTTTTACATAAACTTTTTGAGGTATCAGGAAGTTGTGTTGTAGAATGTCTGGATTTTTCAGATTGTTTTCTTTTTGATGTCATTGAATGTGTTGCCTCTTCTGTGTGTTTTCTGTAAGCTAAGGTTAGCTCTATATTCTCTTACATTCAGAGGTGTATCATTACCAATGATGTTACATTTTCATTTGGCTTTATTTTAGTTTTTTTTTTTTTTAATTTCTTTTTAGATGCTGAGGTTCAAATCCAGGGCCTCACATTTGCTAGGCAAGTGAGTTACCATTTAGCTCCAGGCCCAACCCTTAGTGATACTACATTTGATCATTGTTTTAAGACAGTGGCAGGCATATTTCTTCACAAAAGACGCTTTCTTATTCTTCCTTCCACCTGAAAGAGCTTAAAATATTACATTGGAACCGTGCAAATATCTAATGCTACAACAATTTCCACCTATAATTCCTTTTTTCCACTTCTTAAAATTTAAAAATAAAAAGGTTAGAAATGATACAGAATTTCAAAATAGTAGAAAATTAGGAAGAGTTAATATCTTAATTATCTTAGAAGTAATGGTTCAGATTACAAGATTTAGGCGTGAAAAAAATGATCAAGCAGTCCACCTTCAATTCATGTGATAAGGACATTTGCCTGAATTAACCATTTCATTAAGGACTATCACATGGAAATTACTCCAAGTCTTTCAAGCCTTTTGCCTTTATTTAATTGACATTATCGCATTATGTAAATATGCTAGATGATCTTTAATTAGAATCTTGTGAATACACATTTGAGTTATTGTCTTCTTTCCCTATTACAGTAGAACTGTATTGAATACTATGCATACTTTACCTCATATTAGGACAGATGTATCTTAAAGTTATATTTCTAGAAGTACAATTATTAAGTCACATCAAATTTTTAACCAAGCCTATTTCCAATTCATACTATATATTACCCCAATTTTCCTTGTATTTCATTGTTCAAACTACTTGTATTCATTTACCTTAATTACTGTCATTCCAAAATTATAATAATTTCATAATTATTTAAAGTAATGCCAGAACTTGGAGAGTCTGAGCCAGGTAGATGGTAGTGTTTGAGCTCAGTGTAGGCAAATTAGTGATTTAGTGAGACTGTGCCTCAAAATAAAGATGACTAGGGATGCAGCTCAGTGTGAAGATCCTGTATTCAATCCCTAGTACTACAATAAATAAATAAATAGATAAATTTTAATTTTAAAGAGGACTAGAGATGTACTTGAGTGTGAAGGCTTTGAGTTCAGTTCCAAATACTAAAAAAAATGAGTTTCTTGAGCCTGATATCAGATCAATTCTTTACCAAAAGACAACCTATATTCATGAACTCTGTAAGTTTTGACATTTTTTATCTCCCTGTACTTTATTTTTGTCCTTTTTTTTGTTTTGTTTTGTTTTGTTTTGTCTTTTTCTTTTTTATCGGTACCAGGGATCGAACTCAGGACTGCCTGCTTGCAAGGCAGGCGCTTATGCCACTGAGCTAAATCCCCAGCCCCTATTTTTGTCCTTTCTAAAATGTAAGCTAAAAATAGTATGTACCTGACAGGGTACTGGAAACATAAAAGGAATTATTACATTTAAATCACTTAACAGGAAGCATATATTTTGAGCTTAAAAATTGATAAAAAGAGATGCTACTGGTATGCAAAAGAGGAAATATAGAGGCAAAAATTGACTTATAGTTTAATTTGAAACTTTAATAGAGTGGTAAGAAAGACAGTAATATTTTAGGTAGTAATCAACATTTTCTATATTTATTTAAGGCAACTCTGAGGTACAACATCCTACTGCCTAAGAAGTCATCTGGATTTTCCCTTTCTGTGAATACAGCCAACGCCATCTGCAGAGGATTGTTTCGTACAAAGTTTGACCTTATTGTCTCAGCCAGGTAATAACCTTCATTTTTAGACTTTACTACATCTCTGCCTCTAATTCAGATAGCCTTTTGTCTAGGCCTCAATTGAAAACACAATTCAATCATTTTATGAAAGAGATTGGCTTAAATTCTAGAGAAAGTTATATTTCATCTTGTTTAATTTGCCTAGATTGTGTAAGATGATTCTAGATGGAAAAATAAATGCAGCTGCAAAATATATAGACTAGGAGGGACCAAAAGAAATTGCAAGAAAAATTTATATATTCCCCTTTAAGAGGTGTTTTCCTCTAAATTTTCTAACTTACAAATCAACATATTATAGGATCTTAATTTTGAAACCCAAAATTGCCAAACAAGAATAAGTCAATTTCAACTTTCTGTGTCTACTTCCAAATAGATTGAAATGTGTATTCCTTCATTTTGGTAGACCACTAATTTCAGCTTATTATAAGAATATTCCAATCTCTGAACAATATATCTTATAAAAGATAGGGTACAATAACCTTTCTTCTATGCAAATACATTTTTGTTGACACTTTTTTCTTAAATAGTTATTAACATTTGCCTGAATTGTAAATTTTATATTTTTCTTTAAAAAAGTTATTCTGGAAAACGTGACTCTTCCAATATGGCAATCATTGATGTGAAGATGCTTTCAGGATATGTTCCTGACAGATCATCAGTTCAGAAGGTAAAGATTTAAAAGTTCTTAATTAAAATAAATTCAGAATAGCCATAATTTGTTACTCTCTGCTTTGTATAATGGCTGTTAATTGTATAAAAATAAAAAACACAGTTTTCTGTCTTAAGGAAGGAAATTTTATTCACATCTGTATCTTGTGGTATATTATTTAAGGTTCTCAAATTTATTTGTATTCTTATATCATTAAAACAGTTAATCAGGAAAAAAATAAAGCAAGTATCCCATAGCTATCATCCTACTCAATGGTGGGGAAGTTGGAAGCTTTCCTTCTAAACTCAAGGACAAGGATGTCAATTTATACCACTTCTATGAACATAATACTGAAAGTTCCAATCAGCGCATTAGACAAGAAAAAGAAATAAAAGGCATTATACAGGAAAATAAGTAATATTTTTCTTTATACTGATGCTATAGTCTTGCATATAAAGAATCCTTAAAACTATCCAAAAAATGTATTAGAACTGGTAAGCAAATTAAATTGCAGGTTATAAAATCAACATATAAAAATCAGTAATATATTTATACATTAACAACAAATTATCTAAAGAAAGAATAAAGTTGTTTTTGGTCTTATAGAGACAGGATCTCATTCTGCAGTTCAGTTGGCTTTGAACTCACTTTGTAGCCCAAGCTGGTTTGAACTTGCAGTGCTCTTTCTGCCTCAGCCTTTGAGTGCTAGAATTACAGGCATGCACCACCACACCCGACTGAAGAAAGAAATTTTTAAAAGTTTGAAAAACTTAGAAACTCTCCCAACTTACAGCACTGTCAATCAATCAATCAATAAAATACTTAAGAATAAACTTAACCAACGAGTTAAAAAGTCTATACACTGTAAACTATACAAAGTTAATGAAAGAAATTGAAGAAAACACAAATAACTGGAAACATAGCCTATGTTCAGGGACTTGAAAAAATAATACTGCTAAAATACGCCCAAAACAATCTATGGAGTCAATGTAATCACTATCAAAGTTCCAATGGCTTGCTTAACAGAAATAGGGAAAAAAATCTTAAAATTTGTATTTCAGAGATTGCATTTCAAATCTGTATTTTCAAAGAAATAACCCTGAAGAGTTAAAGCATTCTTAAGAAAAAAAAACCCAGAGACAAGCACTCCCTGATTTCAAAATATATTATAAATCAATTGTAATAAAAACAAGATACTGTTATAAAAACAAACACACTGACCAGTGGAAAAGAAATACATTGAAGTATTTATAATCAATTGATTTTTTACAAGGATTTGAAGAACTCATAATAAGTAAAAAGCAGTCTCTCTACTAAGTGGTATTGGAAGCTGGACATGGCAGCGCTTGCCTGATATTGTAGCTCTTTGGGAGGCTGAAGTGGGGTGATTACAAATTCGAGCCCAACCTGGGCTGTTTAGTGATTTTTTGAGATCCTGTCTCCAAATAAAAAGAGCTGGAGATATAGCTCAGTATGAAGGCTCTGGCTTCAATTTCTACTGGAGCAAAAAAGAAAAAAAAAAGGTAATGAGAAAAATAGATATCACATCCTGTAAAATGAGATGAGACCCTTGTTTTCAGCCATAAAGGATAAATCTGAGTGATGTGTAGTAATAAGCCTGGCTTTTGAGATCATAATGCTAAGTGAAATTAAAGACAAAAGAACAGGCAGATAAATATTACATTATTTTTCTTAGGTAAGGAACTAAAATATAAGTTTAAAAGTAAAATAAAAGAGAAGTATTAAGAAACAGGGAGGTAGAGTTTTTGAATTTGGGAAGGAGAGATGAATGGCGAAGAAAGAGGAAGTAAAAATGATCAGGATGTTTATGCATGTGTACAATTCCCCAGATATATATAATCATTATACGTTACAAAACCACACCAAAAATGAAAAAATAAAAATTCATCTCAAAATGTACAAAAGACTCAAGTCATGTTGAAGGAAACAAAAGGGGAAAGCTGGGCAGTGACTTCTCATACAAGAAATAAAAGCAAAACTGGATAAATAGAATTGCGTCAAGCTAAAAACTCTCTGCACCTCAATCGACAAAATAAAAAGAAAAGCAGTCAGCATATTTCTGAAAAAATGCTCAGGAGCTCTACTCACTGGAGGAATGCATATTAAAACTACAATGAAGTATCACCTCCCCACTATTAGAATGTTATCCAAAAGGTGAAGGATAATAAATGTGAGCAGAGATGGGGAGAAAAGGAAGCTCCCGCAACTGCTGGTGGGAATGTAAATTAGTACACAGCCATTTTGGAAAATAGTACAGAGGTTTCTGTACAAAGTAAAAATAGCATTACTATATGACCTAGCAATCTACATGTGGAAAAATACCCAGAACAACTGCACTACCGTGCTTGTAACGTAGAGGCAAACTGCATAGATAAATGGAGAAAGAAAATGTGTAGATAGGCACATTGAAATACCATGAGGCTTTATAAAAGATGGCAATTCTGTCATTTGAATACAGCACAGATGCAACTTATTGGGGTATTATGTTTAGTGAAGTAAGCCAGAAACAGAAAGACAAATATCACCGTATTTCATTTCTGTGTAGTCTAAAAAAAAATGATCTCCTAGGAACAGAGAGTAGTAAAGTGTTTACCAAAGAGAAGGAGGACAAAGGAAAGAGGAATAATGGTGACCAAAAGTTCATTTTAACTAAACTGAAAGTATAAATGTTATTAACATAATGACCTGATTAATAATGTATTTTTTAAATTGCTGAAAGGTTTTTAACATCCTCAACACAAAAAAATGGAAAGTTGGTGAGATTTGCTAATTATCTTGATTGAATCTCTTAAAGTGTATAGATAGACAAAAAAATCAAGTTACCCCAAAAATATGCACAAATTAATGTTTAATTTTAATATTATAATGTTTAATATTAATATATTGTGAATTTTATTATCCTAATTATTGAAAATTAGAAACAAATATTTAGCCAGGTTTCTCAAAAAAAGCCAAATAAAAGAATCTTAAAGGTTACTGTTCATTGTTGAATGTTGCAAATATTTGCAAACATGCAAAAAATCACCAAATTAAAGTGGAATATTTTTATTTTTATTTTTGGTTAGCTAACTATTTGTTATCACTCGCTCCCTAAATTTTCAGTACATCTTTCTCTCCTTATTTTTAGCTTCAAGACGATGGCAAAGTACAGCGAGTGGAAATTAAAGCCACCCACGTCTTTTTCTATCTACAAAATGTAAGTTTACTGTCATCATTCGGTTCATATATTGTATGTGCCTGAAGCACAATATAGTTTTCTTTCTGTTTTGCTTTATTTTTTTCCTAATATTTGCTTGTAAGAGAGTAGTACTGAATGATCATTGTTAAAATAATTCCAAATATTTGACATAGAGAGAAACCAATGGAATACACTTAATATTCATAATATTGATTTATTCCCAGGTTACTCAAAAGAAAATCCAGTTTTCATTCTCCATTGAACAAGAAGCACTTGTATCCAACAACAAGCCTGCATCTATTCAGCTCTATGATTACTATGCAACTGGTAAGAATTTCACTTAGTTTTAATGCCAGATATATTCTAAATTCAATTAGATACAAGACAATTTTCATTTTTTACCAATGTTATAATTCCTGTTTTTGAAATCTTTTTTCATGTTTGGTAACATTTCGTAACATTTAATACAAAATTCTTGAGTTTACAGCAAATAGATCTTGAGAGTTACTGTTTCTAAGAGAAACGTCAAGATTTTCCCTGTTATTTTTTTCACTAAAATGTTGGTTTAAATTACTAGAGAATAAATGTGAAGTAGGCTCTCTTTCTGAATAAATTATAGATTCATGCAAGACAGAGCTAATGGTTATGAATGTTGACATGCTGCTTACCCAATAGTGTGAGATAGAGAACATAAATTATATCTATCTCATAGAAAATAGGAGATGTTGTTAGAGAATTTGTGGAAATACTCTGATAAAGCATCTACGTATTACTCTTTGCAATTTGGTGGTGAGCCAAGTTGCTAATTTATGTTGCCTGGTTCAGAGTGGCTCAGCTCTATTCTGCATAAATTACTTCTATGCCTGTGGCCAACTGATAGATCAACTGGCTGGGTGACCTAGGACAACCCACTCCAGGGTCTCACAGGCAATATACTCTTGCTTAGAGAGTGGCTGGCTAGTTGCCAGCTGAGTTTACTTATTTTGATCTTTCATCCTTCAACAGACTAGGTTGGACATGTATCTATATATGTAATAAGCTCTCACCTGTTTATTCATATGTTGCCAAATACTGTGGTATTTTCAAGTAAGAAAGATTATAGAATTTGTGCTACTTTATCATGTAATGTCATGGATTTTAACAAGGTTTTTATTGTATTATTGCTTTGCTTGGAAAAATGAAATTCTTACTAATAACACAAAACAAATGGCAAGGTAAAAACTCTAAATTGGGTCTTTTGATTTGAAACTGAAGCTTATCAGTCCTCTTTTGCATTTCTGTAGATTAAATTATGCATATTAATAGATTAAAATATAGATCTAATAATGTTATCAATCAAAATATGAAAATGACAAGTTAATTTCAAGCCAGATTATAACATCCAATAAATGATTCATAGACTTTTCTTTAAAAAAACTATTTTCATATAGCTATACTGATAAGTAGTTCAGCAAACAAGGAGTGTTTATGTACAAATAATGCTTTACAAACTTTGGGTGCTCAGTCAATAAGTAAAACTTTGTTTCCATAAACCTCAATGACTGAGTTGTTTTCACTGTTCCTTCAACTGTTGAAATAATAAAGATTTTCTGCTTTAGAAAATTAAATGCTAATCTCAGGTTTTAACATACATCATGTACCTAAAACATTCAAGAACAGTGACATGCATATGCATGCAATGTGATAAGAATACAAATAGATGTGGAGGCTGTTAAGTGAGTAAATTATTTTATCACAGAGATAAGGGAGCTTATTTCTAAACAGAGATTATAAAGAAGCTTTCTTCTTCAGCACTGTTGTGAGACTGTTTCTTGTACAAATTGCTCTCTTCCAGATGAATTTGCAGTTGCAGAATATACCACACCGTGCAATCAGGTGTCCTCTGAAACCTTCTAGTTCTGGGATAAAGGAAATGAGATGAAAAAGAAAATGGCACTTTGGAACTGTGTGATGTATTAAGAGATTCTGTCCATTGTTTCAACCTAGAAAAGATTCAGAATCCCCAGAATGCTCAGAACTTCTAGCTCTCTCATAAACAGCATTCACCCTCAGTACACCACCACCAGCCCTATGCTGTCCACATGACCATCCTCCCTGGAATGCCGGTAGCCATCTTGGGAAGTGCAGATTAAATGGATGCAAGAGCAAAGTTCAACCTATGAAGACCAGAGCCACTAGACAAATGCACCTGTGTTCCAGCCTCTTGTCAGGGAGCTCTGAGAAACAATTCAGATACCTCTCATGATGTCCCCTGGAAATCAGCTTCCCATTTTCTCCTGGATAAGGCCCAGTAACCCCTAACTTAGCTTATATTTTCTTATACAGTCTCCTGATCTCCCATTCTTATTGCCTGAAATGAATGATCTAGAGTCCTCACCTTACCTTTTGCTTTCAGGAGAAGACAACGTATCACATCAATCACTGAATAAATAAAATGTCTTGCTGTATGTGGAATCATCTAATGCACTGATAACTTCATTCTGATAGGCATTTTGAATAAATTTTCTAGAAACCATACAAAAGAAAGACTTTCATAATATTTCAATATAAACAAATTTTTAAATAACTATTATTGAGTAAAACCTGACAATCTGTGTATCTTAACTTTAATTTCAAAATTAAATTTTCATTCTTGGTATAAACACATCATGGGAAAACCCATTCTCCCTCTCTGCCCATATTCCATTAACACTAGGAGGCTCAATTCTGAAAATACATCTAAAGAATTCCCTTGGATATAAAATATGTTTCTTAATTAGATCAAGCACTCATCGGTATAATTCTATTGAGCATATATATATATATATATATATCTACTATTTTTAAACACGTGTCTAAAAGTTTATAGTTATATGTTAGTATTCAGATTAAAGAATAAATTTGTGTTATTTTCAGGCCCAAAGTGTGAGGCTGTTACAGTAGCAATGGAAAACTAATGTACTGTCTCTCAAATACCTTAAATTAACTAAGTTCAGAATTTCAAATGTCACTCATGAACTTAAATTCCCCATAGCTTCAGTCCATGACTGCTTGCCCAAATCACACTAAAGGTACACTAAAGGTACAACATTCTTCAACGTGTCTTAATGCAGTTCTAAATCCTATTACACTTATTTCTCCCTGTTATCTTTTACACCCATCAGTAACACCTGTCACAATTGCCTCCAAAATCTATATTAAGGGAGGAATATAGCTTTAATTTCTTAATTTTCTTGATTCTCTTGGTGGTTTTCCACTACATTTCAACTAGCCATGGAGGCTTTAACTTATGCAAAATTTTGCATGACATACTGTCTGTCTAGGCCTCAAAATTACTGTTCTTCATTTTTCCTCTCTAATCATATTAACTTCTTTCAGTTCTTCTTGTAATCAAGAGGAGAAAATCACATGGCACTCCGTAAAAGGCAAAAATGTAGAGACAGTAGAGAGATCAATGGGTCAATGTTAAGGAAGGTAAAAGCAACAAGCAGAGAATAAATAGACACAAAATCTTACCAGTGGGACAGTGTTCTGTAAAGCACACATTTGAGAGATATTCTCTCTTTAGAAAATGTTCAGTGAATGATTCTGGAAAATAAACTTTTGAAAAAAATGATTGTGATGAAATTTTTGATCATTCTGAGAAATTTTGATTCATGGGACATTATAAGTAACTCAATATGATGTTTCTTTTTTAGTAAATTTTGAGCCCCAGAAGTGAAACTAAGGCTCTGTTTATCTCTATGAATTTCAAGGTTATTAAGGTTTAGATCTAAGATGTCCCCTGAAAGTCTCATTATGTTCACATTTTAGAAGGTGATAAGATCATGTAAGTGCTACACTCATTAGTCAGTTTACTCATTCATGAGTTCATAGCTTGCAAACAGCTTTTAGGAGGTGAGCCCTGTTGGAAGTGATGGGTCACAGGGCCATGACCTGGAAGGGTGTGCTCTCTTCCCCAGTTCTTTCTCCTCTCCTCTGTCCTTCTTCTCTTCCTCCTCCTACTCTTCCTCTTCTTTCTTCTCTTTCTTTTCTGTTTCTGTCTCTGTCTCTCTGTCTCTGTCTCTGTCTCTCTGTCTCTGTCTCTCTCCTTCCTGACTGCCATGGGGTGAGCCTCTTGTTGTACCATGCCCTTCTACCATGTCATTTCTCCCTTGTAGCCTGCCAGCCATATACTAAACCCTCTTAAGCCATGAACCAAAATAAACTTCCCCTCTTTAATTTTCAAATGTCAGAGTTTTTGTCTTGTGGTCCAACAGCCTATGGTTTTTCCCCATTATAATGTCACTCTGAACCCAACATTGGGCTTATGACAAAAGTAGTAAATCAGTACATCAGTGAACCCATGCTTCATCCTCTCACTGGCAGGATCCTCTTAAGTAGTTTTGTTTTCTGTATAATTTTCTACAGCTAGCACATCTGTCAAGTGAGAAGGTAGTTCAAGGGACTGACAGTTTTTGGGAAGTGTTTCCTCTATCTAAAGTGTGCCTTTAATAGAGAGTCACTGACATCTTCCAATGAGAGTTTCTCTGTTGGTGTCTCAGTAATTCTTGTTTGCCATAAAAGAATTAAACGATCTTGATAACAGTGTTCTGATGATCTATTTTTTCACTGTTTTCTGGAGGTAAATATTGATCTACCTTGGATAGAGTTTCTGAAACTACAGAAAGATTTCCATGAAAGTGAATAGCTTTGTTTTCATTTTTTATTTAAAGAAAAAAAAAACAAAACTAAAAGGGTACAAGTAATAGAGATTTTCAAAAAATAAACAGTAACAAATCACTAATTAATATATCACATATTGTCATCTTAGAAATAGTTCATCAAGTTACAAAATTAAGCATACAAAGTAGAGCGAGACAGCAAACAGTTGTGTTCAATGATCCAACAAAAACTTAGTAATATGGTCATCTATCTTACACACCTAAACACACTTGCAGTTGTGTCCTTTAGAGCACTTTCTTTCCCTCACCTTTTTACAATAGCATTTACACATTTTTGGGTTTTATTACTCCCAAAGTTCTTATTACGTTTTTTTGGAAAGAATAGAACCAAATGTGACAAAATAAAGCAGTCAGTCAAAACAAAGGATGGACATAGCACATGATGTAAAAACAGAATACAAGATTATCAACAATGGTTACCATAATGCCTCTTGCTACCTTAAAAAGGATTGCCTATATCATCAGGTATAATAAAATTGAATAAAATAGTACAAAACAAAACCAATAAATCCTAAATGTTGGAGACATTACTGAACTTCAAAGGAAGATAATAGTCAAACCAGAATGGGCATCATAATGAATCTTATTGCCTTCAAAGTAGTTGCATATACCCTCAAACTTGATACTATCAAACAGAACAGAACAGAGTAAAATCAGTCAAAACAAGATGATGAGAGCAATACAGGGCTTCAAATCGAGTTAATAAGATCAAAAAGGTTACTATAATATATCCTGCTAATTTTTAAAAAATTTTCCCTTAAAAAATAATAATAATAAATAATTTTTTTAAAATGTTGTTCTTCTGTCTCCATTGATTTTATCATGTTGTATCTTATTGGATTTTAGTATATGTGATAGTATAAACAAAAAATTTTATAGGCAAAGAGATAGTATAGAAATCATCGTTCATTTTCTGCTACCTGGTTCTAAATACCTTGTAATACTTTCATCATCTTGAATGGTTTTGCACTGTCTTGATATGTTTGATGCTATAGTATACAAAGTTATACTCAAATATTTCAAGGAAAGAGACACTATGCTAACTACTATTAAGTCGGCTTATCTTGTGATGAAACACTATGTTGCTTAAATTTTTCTGTTCTGACCTGTATTGTTGTGTTGTTATGTCCTCTTTTATCTCAATCCCCCCCTTTTTAAAAGTGATTAGCTTTTAAAAACAAAGCAAATTAAATGCATACAAACAATGCAAATCAGGTAATTAAATCAAGTTTTTGGTCATATACTCCTGCTAATGAAATCTTGGAACTCTACAGTGATAAAGATTCATATTTACTTACATGTAAGTGTATAAAATTTCTAGTCCCTGAAGTCCATTTATATAACAGTCATATTTAGCATCCCAGGATAACAAGCTTTTCCCTAGAGATTCTAAATCCTACTAGTTGCCTTCACCTAAAGATTCTTTATATAGTATCAAAGAATGTTAAGCATAACTCCATTGAGAGGATAGCCCAAATGATAACTGTTTGGCTCAAACTAGATGAATTTCAATTCTAGAATTTAAGTTTAAAGAAGAATTTGTAAGTTCGTCAATGTGGTACTGACTATAAAAGTTTTGATAAGTTCCTAAGATTTGTTTTTTTTTCTTTCAGGTGGCAGTTTTCATTTCTCAATTCAACTATGTTTCCTGTTTTTGTCTTTTAATGAAATCAGACAAAGGTGGTACAAATGCAGAGACGGTCTCTCCTCCTGTGGCACTTTTGAATGTCTTGCTGTGAAAGAGCCATATACTACTACCTTATACCTGCAGGTTGCTTTAACATGAAGTTTTCCATCTTTACATGGGGAAGAAAATCTTTCTAATTCCCATGTTAGTAAATGTTATTTCAGTATTCTGTTTGGAAGGCAAAAGGATTTGTGATATCCTTACACTGGTTCTTAACTCTTAGGGTCCCAAAATGTTTGTCCCTGTTGAATGAAAAAAAAATCAAACTTCAATTTATCCTTGAGAAGAGAGGCACTCCTTAATTAGGGAAAATTATTAAGTTCTTATTAAACCTCTGCTCAATATTTAATAAACTTGGATCCTCTGGAGACCCAGAAAGTTTATTAACTTTTTCCTAAAAGTATTCTATATAGTGAAAAGTTAATAATTATGAACAACAAAATAAGCTGAATAATAACTGAAAATGTCTTAATTTAATCTCCAAATACTTGAGAGTAAATACTTGAGAGTAAATCCTCTTCATTACCAGAAGAGGATTGCTTGTAGAACAAAAGTTTATAAAACAAAGCTTCAGAATCTCTAGTTTTTTTCATAATCAATGTCTTTATCACTAAATAAATTACTCATATGATCAAATATATATTATAATATAATCACTAGGAAGGCTCCCTACTGCAGGGCAATTTTCTTATATCATTTATTGATTTCTTTGTTTCCTTACTTCTGTCAGAGGATGCTATAAGTAAAACTCAGAGCCTCTTCCATGCTAGGCAAGTGCTCTACCACTGAGCTACAGATCTGGCCAATTTCTTAGAATAAATGAATTTTACTCTTTCTACCTTCAACTCTTAAACCAACCCCCCCAAAAACAGAATAATGTTTGGTTGGTAAGGAATTAAGTTTCAGTAAAATGGTTTACCAATCTATCTTGTCAAACAAACTATATTTTCTCACATGCTCGTTCCAGCATCCACTGTTCCCTATCTTCGTGAATAACAGCGAGATGACTGGATGCAGAGAGAGGAGAGTCAGGCTGACCCAGAAAGATGGTCACAACCTCTTGTAGGAAATCAGCACTATAGAAACAGAGCACAAATTATGATGAACAGAAACTTTATTGAGAGATAATTCACAGCTTTATGAAAAACTTGAATACATACATATATGCATATATATATATTTCAACAAAAATGAAACACTGAATCAAGATCATGTAAAGAAAAATATTCATAACAAAAACAGAACATTCCACACATTTCTCCTTCCTTTTCATGTGCTTGTTTTCTTACATTATATCCTGAAGCTGTCACAAAACTTCCTTTAAATGTGTTGAAAAATCTGGGAAGACAATATTTTCAGTTTGAGGTGAGTCTCTCAGCTCAGGGGAAACAACTGGCCTCTCCATGATTCTAATGCTTGAGGCTCCACCTACCATGAGTAATGAAATCCCTGACACTTAATACTGGTTTGAGAGAAAAGAGCACTAAACTAAGGACCCCACTATGTCTCAGTGAGAAAGGGGTTGAATAAATGTTATGCTGCATACTGTGCTTTGATGTGCTCTAAACTTAAACTGACTGATAGTTCAGACATGAGATCCATTTGAAAAAGTGTCATCATCCACTATTCAGTTTCTCTCCTGCTTTCTGAACGTTCCTAAATCCTCTATTTTTCTCACCTTTGCTTCTCATTTCTTGTGTTTGCTTTTTGTCCTTTATTGTCCTTCCTTTCATAGGTAACATGGCTTCTCAGTTATCTAGTAATCTATCTTTCTAACCCAACATAAACAAGCTCTGTGTTCCTCTGACTCATTTCCCAGAAGATAGTATGAGGCTCTGCCTTACACAACTTCCAGAATCTTCTCCAGATGCCCTATAGCAGTGAGAAACATGGTGTTTCTTGTCCCTAACATCTATGTTCTGAACTATCATAATGAGACAAAACAGCTGATAGATAAAATCAAGTCCAAAGCCATCAGCTATCTTATCAGGGGTAAGAAATTACCTCAAAAGAAAAACCCTGACTTACCACCTAAATATCCTCTGGTGAACTCAAATCAACACCTCTTTGATTAAGAGTATTGCATTGCCTTTATTTTCAATAAAATGTCCCACTCAACAATAAGAAAAGTCAATGGCTTCATGAAAATTTGAAGATATTTTAGTATATTGCCCTATGATTCCTCAATAATGTTAATTAAATAGT